ATGCAGTGGATGATTAAGAGGCAATAATTTTTTAGTACGACATCCTCAGAATCTCCACTAGGACACACACACACACACGTACATACTTCCGATGCAGCTGTGTACGACACACCTCTTTCCTCGACATGGCCTCCTATCGCTGTTAATCAGCGACTCGAGTTTGTCTGCGTGTACGATATGGTCTTGTGGGTATTCAGCAGTGAGATTGGTGATGTGACAGAACGGCAATTTCCAAACAGCAGGCCCTCTCCAAATTAGAAATCATTCCTCCCCCTGTGGGAAGAGGCTACCTATTGTACAAATCACTCAGCGAACCTGGGCTGGCTGCAAAGCAATGGGATAGAAAGAAAAGATGGATATTTAAAAACCATTCAGAGAATAGCACAGTGTGCCAGCTGTTCTGCTCAGATATTCTTTTTGCACAAAGGAAACACAGTCAAAAGAAATAGTTTGTGATGAATGTAATGTCTTCATTAGGCATGAGGGCTCAGTTCAGAAGGAAGAGGAGCATGAAAGAGAGGCAGCCCGCCACGCACGGAATGGGCTCTTTAATGACGGCACATCTGTCATAAATAAAATATTAAATAGACACATTTACACATATGGCAATCAGCGTTTTCATTTTGCTCGACAACAACAGAGAGAGTCAGTCAAAGACCCTGATTCTCCGTTTTATGTCATATTTATAGAATATAAGCTCGGCAGCATGTGACTATAAATCACTTATGTTTTCATTAAGTCTACGACGACATCATTAGGTTTGCTGCGAACAGGGAGAAAAACTAATCAAGATTTGCAATTTAAAAATGCATAATGTGAAAAAGAATTATTAGTAAATCAACACAGATTTTTTGCCAGAGGTTTTTTTTTGGGGGGGGGGATTTTCCAGAATCTCCATAAATTTGAATAATTTTCCCTTTTAACCACAGAGGCTGAATATTATAACAGTCAGGAAAGTGTGGTGAATGAACAGCTAGGAATGTTAGCTCAAAAAAGCAGCACATCTTTGACACTACTACTGAAGAGTACTACTACTACTACTACTACTACTACTACTACTACGTCTTGCCACTATTACTGAGGAGTAATAAGATGGATGGTAAAATGTGGTCAAATATTGTAAAAAATACTGTGCAGTAAGTTTGCTTGTTCAAAAATATTAAGTGTGGTTAGAGGTAAATCTTATTGCTGGCATAAAAAATTGATTTTTTTTTAGCTAATTTATAGCCAAACTAACCTGGATAAAATAGAAATTACAAAACAAATCAGGCCAAATGGTTACTTAAGAGTGGCAGTGAAGGCACCATGCCAGGTTTAGTGTTCATGAAGTATTTTCTCCTTCTAATGAAGCTTTTCTCCACTTGAAGGACTTCATCAATCGCTGCAGTGAGTGAGGAGCCTGTGGTGCAGCGGTCCAAAGTCAATGCGTCACAAATGGAAGAAAGATTGGGTCAACATCAGTCTGACTGAATTCAGCTCATCATTTCAAAACCTCTTCCATAGCAACAACACCATCTGGCTCATAAAAGGTTAAAAAAATGTAGCTTGGGTAAAACTGGCCAAAGGTCAGATAATAACCAGAGAAAATGGGCTTAAAATTATTTAAATTCTCTCTCGAAGCCCACTTTGATATAAAGCCTTTTACTACCACAAATTAGTAACCACCTGATGCTAACCTGAATCAGAACTGCCCAGCAAGGCACACACAACTCACATCATACTGCATGTAGTAGTTTGTTTACTGCACTCAACCAAACCTGTGGTAGGACTAACTATAAGTGAAAACGGGGATGATGGGTTAAAACAAAAGGAAACAACAACAAGCAAAACAATACCAAAATTTATACATGTGGCCAAAGTCTTAAAAAGTCTTAGCTCAAAATGCTAAAGGATAAAAAGAAGTTGAGTTGAAAAGACATGTAAAATTGATATGACATCAGCTAGTTTTGCTAAAGTTGCTAAAGACGGACCAAAAATCTCTGAAAGAACTACAGGCAAAAAATAGACTATAAAATAGAAAGGGAACTTAAAATAGATATGACATAGCTAACGCTAACCTAGCTAAGGTGAAGTGGACATCTTCAAGAAACCTACTGCCTCCAGGTGCCCTCGATGTAACTATTTTTGGATATTAATGTCTTTGCTCAGAAAAAGGGTTTAATAATACAAAAATAATATATCAATAAATAGAATACAAAAATGTAAAAGACAAAATTAGTGCCATTTTGTAAAGGCTTCACTTTTCATTACCTGCACCATAATGCACCTCTTCCATAAGCCACCAATGCAATCACGTGCGTTTGATATTTTTTCATGTGTACACGTTGAGATTACTAACAATGCCACATTGATTACATTAGCATATAAAAGGAAATCCTTGAAATCTGTGCTACCTGGATTGCAATCATCAAATACACAGACTGGTTTGCAGTAAAGTTCTTTCAAGGATTTTTTTTTTTTTTGATTAATAGCACTTTTTGGCTGAGAGGTTTATGTATTTTCTGGTCATTCACAGTAGTTGGAACACCACAGCTGCCTGAACAGGTATGAACTCTCAGTGACTTCGCCCAGCCTTGGGGATTACGGCTACATCCACATCCCTACTGTGCTGACTACAAGCCCCTTCACCTGCAGAGGTGACGGGCAGGAGGAACTTACGTCCAGCCTGTATTTGCAATTTTGTGCTAGTTCCAAGTCTGCTGGAAAGAAAAAAAAGCAAGAGAGAGAAAAAAATAATAGAAACAATCCGCTATAGAACTCCATAATGGCATCGCTTTTTTTTTCTTTGCTCTAAAAGCAGTCCTGCCTCCAAGTGGCACTACATCTGGTAAGGCCTGTGGTGATTTACAGAGCCGGGGCACAGCTCCATTAGCAGCGAGACAACACGTCGTCCATCCAGACTGTGATTCATGTTCTCAATAAGTCTCAGTGTCTTTCATTCTTTACTTCTCCATTCAACTGACTTATCCCTTAGCTTGAAAAGTATCATCTGCTAAAGAAAGTTCTCTGAAAAGGCGTGAGGATGCCTGTTAAATTTTCCTGCTGGACCGGCAGTTTTCCTGTAAAGTAAAAGTACTCGGAAAAAAAAAATTGTGAACATCATTTAAGAACAGAAAAAAAAAGCTGCAGGACAAAGTATCTCTCTGTGTAATGGCTCTGAAAATAAAACAGAAGTATTGAAGAAAAGGAAGTAAGAAAGATGTGGATTACTTACTAACACAAGACATTGTGCTCAGGGGGCAATCTACTGTGACATCATTTATTTGTTTGTGCACTGCCGGTGTGGAGCTAAGGGCTTTGCAACTTCTACCACCACCCCATTATTTTTGTAAGTAAAAACAACCATATCAAGATTATAAATGCTTTAATCTCGACACATCGTTTTCTCACCAAGGTCTGATCGATACGCTAAATAATTTAAAGCAAACGTAAAGATTCCTTAAAGAGTTTCGATGCTCCTTTTGGCCCTCTTAGCCTTGAGAAATTAGAAAAACACTTTACCACATCTTTTTGTTTGTGTGACTAAACAACTAAACTAAATATATTGCTGTAAGTCAAGAATTAACTTCAGTTTAGTTTAGAGCAGTACTTCTCAAATAGTGGGGGCGGGCCCCCCTGGGTGGGCACAGTGACGGGGGGCGTGAGGGGCTTCCAATGGAATACGGCACGCTGGACATAAGCGTGGGGCTTCCGTAAAGCTTGAATGATAACAAGCCTCCAGTCACTAGGTGGCAGCAACTCATACTGTGGTTTGTACAGTATGACAGAAAAAATAATTGAGAACCACTGGTTTAGAGTCTGCAGAATGCTCTCATGTTTCAAAGATGGATATCATTTTAATCAAAAAATGTCATCCTTTACCACCCCAACCTGCTGCACATCTTTCTCATCCGTTTCTCCTCAATCATTTTGTAAAAACCTATCACTAACTGTTTTTTATTATTTTCATCTAACGTTTAACACAAGGCTTACCAAATTTATTATTTCAAGACAAGATCATTTTCCTAGATAGATTTTGTCGTTAGTCCTTAGAGGATTGATGTTTTGACATTTTCTTTTCCAGCAGAAATCAAAGCATGAAATGAGATAGTTAATTCTTTTTAAACTCTGGCCTTTTGTTTATTGAGTGTTTGTAAGTGTAGAAATCGCAGCACAGGGATAAACGTATGAAGAAAAATGCTTTAATCTTTAGTATTTGACAGAGCCATTCTGTAATTTATTGCCAGATTGGATTGAGTCCTGAGTTGGTCCTGGTTCATACTGTCTTTCAGTAAACAAAGTCAAGAATGAATTATCCAAGAAATAAATGAGCCAACATGTGATTCACTCCGTGAGGACAGTTAGTGACGTCCCACATCAAACCCAGGTGAGTGACGCCACATTAACCAGAGCTTCTGCCAAATGAATTCATTCATTCATCTCTCCTTGTGTCATGAGGACTTCAGCGAGTGATTTGTGAAAATAGACGTTATTAGTCAAGACCACAGCTCTACCTCAGCCACTGACTAATTATGCACAGGTAATGAGAGAACATATTAGAAGCATATTTCTCCTTCAGCATTGGAGGAACAGTAATTGCATGGTAACAGTGTTCCAGATTGAGAAACAGCCAGAATGAATCAGGGCAGAAGGGAAAGAAACAACGCAGTGTTGAAGATCGAACGTTACTCTGAAACATATAGAACCAAAATTCCTCACCCTTTTATTTTTTCATAACGCATCATCCAAAGAATTATGAAATAAACAACATCAACCACAACAACAACAAAACATCCAGCTGAGTCATGACAGCACCAGCTGGAAAAATCTGCAAAGAAAGCAGCAGATGAAAAAGGGGAGAATATATGAAAGGGGGAGGAGGACTGGGTAATGAAAGAGGGAGTGCTTAAGAGGTGGCAAGTGAGGAGTAAAAACCTGCTGACTTGACGCTTTTCAAACAGCTGGTGAGGGAAACTCGCCGCACTCTTTAACATGTAGTATCACCGAGCAATTAATCTGAGACATGTAGTATCACCGAGCAATTAATCTACTGAAGTGAAGAATGGAAAGGACAACAGAGAGAGTGAGGAAAAAAGATCTGCCAGCCGGGGTCAGCAAAATAAAAATCAGCAGAAAAGCTTTCAGGAAGAAGGAATTCTGCTTAGAGTTACATTCGTTAATTTCCCTGAAGACAGGTGTTCTTCTAAGAGGACTGAGCTTCGCCAGCTTCACGCGTTCCATCAAAACCTTTCCAGATGTTTCAAATTATTACGGCAGAGTTGTAATTTAATCACCATGATACGAGGGAGGAACCCAGTCGGCCACTGACCACAGGAGAGCCTCCAATTTAGTTCTATGTTTATATCCAAGATGAAACCTCAACAGGTCTGCCATCCACAGATGTGGGCCTAATCTTAACTACAAGCACAGACACTAATTACAGTTATTTATTTTCAAATGCATTTAATTTTCTTATTTGTAACTGTTTTGTCTACAGGCCAGCCAAATGGTTACAAACCCAGAAAAAGAAGAAGATGTCAAAACAGAAAGGAACTGATCGAGCTTCAGAGTCAGAGGATCACTATGTTTCATCAGTACAGTAGGGCAACGTATAGTAACGTTGTTTGTGCCAAAGACCAGTTGGCCAGTAGGGGGCATTACTGCGGATCAGTAGCACAAGTAGGAGGTTAGTTAAACTTTTAAGAATAAAACATCTTTTAGACTTTAGTCTCTTAATATCGGAGTCTGGATGAAATGGTATTTTGAAATATTTTCAGGTTATCTTCGAATGAGGAAAGTAAACAGTTATGACTGGATTCTGTTTGAACAAAGTAAACGTGAAGTAAATTTTTTATTGTGTCCCCCCCCTCCCCTCCGTGTCCCCTCGAAGATATAATCCTGCTGTGTGTTTGAGGATAAAAATGACAACAACAAAAATTATACTTGAATGAATAAACAGTTTTTCATTCTTGTTATCTGTTACCATGGTGAAGATTGTTTAAAAGTTGAGCTGCTTCAACTACACCTGTGTTTGATGCCCTTGATCCAAACAGCTTGTCCACCACTTGTTAAACAGCTCACACATTTTTGATTACACCGTCCCTCTTTCTCCCCCTCTCCCCCTCTCTCTCTCTCACTCTGTTATCATGTAGGAAGCAAAAGCCTAATTTGGAAGCTGTCACAAGTTCTTCTCTAACTCTGAAGGTTCATTATCTGCAGTACAGACTGGGTGTAATTATAGTACAGCCCTCCATGCTGACATCAGCACACAGGTGAAACAGTTACCACAGTGGAGGGCAAAAGGGGTTTTAAAGAAAGCGAACCCAGAGAAATATAAGAAAAGAACCCCCCCACACCCACACACATACACACACTGTGACACTTCTAAGTGACATTTCCATCATGTGAAAATCAATCCACATCACTGCCAAACTAAATTCAGACTCGGGCGTTGCTAAGAAACCTGACAAAAAAAAGAAAAAAATCAGACTTGATTCACAAGAAGAGGCACAGCTGCAGCTTTTCTGCTGCTAGTGTGAACCAGAGGAGCTTAAAAAGACAAGTGACATTTTCTTGTGGCACATCTTTGTCTAAAGCAGTGTCTTCTCTAGGTCTTAGCAATTCTGTCTTTATTTTGGAAATATTGTGATACTTAAAAAGTCAAAGAGGTACTGTATTTGGTGCACACCGTAGGAAATGCTCGAGTAGCAGCAGTTCTGTAGTTGACCATAATAATAATAATAATAACAACAATAATAATGTTTTTATAAAGGTGTGGTGCTATTGATCAAACAGAAAAATTATCATACATTTCAAAATGCCACCTTGATGAAATTTCTATTAAGACAGAGGTTTAGAGGAAATGTAGAGAAGCGTCATTATTCCAAATTGTACATTTATGTGTTTGTGTGTGACGGACCAATTTAATGTGAATTTCACCACTAGATGTTGCTAAAGCCTACACAATGTATCTTGGAATTACATTAGAAGTTGTAACTTCATGATTACTAAAAAAAAGTCGATGGACACTCATAAATATATCACCCTGGTTGACCTTGCACTTTCTTCCCCTGTGTATCGTCCCTTGTCTTACTTTCTGGTTTACTTTGTGTTTGTCTCCCCTGTGTGTCTTCAGCCTACATTGGTTGGTACCTGTCCTGATTATCTAGGAGAAAGTTCTACACCATTTTCTGCTGTGTTTTATCCGTGACCTCTGCCTTTAGTGTCCTCTCCTTAACATTTTTTTCCTTTTTTCGTTACTCTGCTCTGTTTTTAGTTTGGACACCTGTTCTTTGGTAAAAAAACAAAAAGGTTCAAATTTAGACTTTTTTTGAAGGGTGCTGGTGGCGTCGGGGGGAATGGGGGGGCTCTGACATCAAATAGTATGTGCAAAAAATAAAATAAAAAAAACAATTTTCTTCAAAAGCTAGCTGTGGGTACCAATATTTGGATGTACCACTGACACATGGGCTATATTTAAACTTTAAAGAGACCATTTTACTGCACTTTTCAGAACAATGTCTTTTCCCTTTTATTTTTTTACAAGTCAATGACAGACTGTTTTCTTCCAAAACTTCTTAAGCATGATTTTGCAATGTAGCTTACTGTAGGTTGTATTTCAGGGAGACGATTTGCTATTATATTTAACATCTTTGGAAAGACACATTACTCATATGTTAATCCTGAGCCTTCAACTCTAAAATAATGATTTTTAACAGTTGATTATTTGTTCGTGCAGAATTAAGCAGGTCGTCTTTTAATCTCCATCTGAAACCACTATTTGCACATAAATGTCACATAAGAAATGACCGAAACGTATTCTGAACCTGGAGCACTATTTCTATGGCTCTAGGCTGAACCCTGGTGGATAGAAAGCTGTACTGCACAAGCAGACAACGTAAGAGAGGATGTGATTTTACAGGTGTCTGGGAATCTCTCCACTATTCCATGATTTTAATTGAACATTTATTTAAAAAAGAAAGTTATTCTGAAGTGCATAAGCAGGCTGACTATTTAAAAAAAATAAGTAAAGAATTTCTGGATTTATCAGTTTCCCATACACTTATTAATTTGCAGCCAATGATGTTATTGTTGCAGGGCACAGCACATACATCACTGTCAGGGGAACATCGGCAGCCAAAGATGCTCCGCCGCCTAGAGACTGGGTTGGAGGATGTTTTTCTGATTATGAAAAATGTTAAGAAATTGCTAAAAAAAGACAAGAGAATCAGTACTGTTTGGCTGAGAGGATCCAACTGTCAATAGATAATTAATGAGAAGAGCACAACAGCACCAATGAGAAAAACAGCAGCAAAAGAAAAGTAATCAGCAAGAAATATGAAAAGTTTCTAATATTTTTATGGCCTTAAACGTACGACTACTGCGTGTACTGATTGATACACCTCACCACTGCTCTTAAGGAAGGCATACATCAAAAACCACTTTAATTCTTTTCTCACCCTATTTCCCCTCTCATCGACTGAAGCTAACGCTATGATCCAAATCCTATTCATCTTTGTCTCCTTCAGCATAAATCTAAGTGCTCTACATTCTGCAATTTTAGGATCATACTTTTTAAGCAGTGCACGAGTCTCAGTCCAAGCCTACATCACAGCAGGTGTCTCTTTTGTCACTTCCTGTTGTCCCTCATGAACCTCAGTCATGTTTGATTAATAATCTCACCCGTGTGCTATTTGTGTTTCTTGTACGCTTCTGTTGGTTTGTCTTGGTTTGTCTTGGTAGAGTCAACAGCAAGATTGAAATTGACTGCCTAACATCAGGTGATGCAGCATTCAGCAATAATTGAACAATGACAGATGGCAAACAAATCCGCCATTGACCTGGATCGAAAAGCAGTGACCCAGAATAATTGGGCTTGCGTCATTCAGTCAATGTCCTGGCCCACAGTTATCTAACCTCCAACTGCCAGGACAAAGTTATTTGATAGGAAAACAGACAGAAAAGTCTTTGTCACTGCTACAAAAACACAACATCCCAGTAATACAGGACACTTTAAGTTTATGTGAGTCATTTCAAACAAGAACCGTTTCTCGACCAGATACATTAATCATCATTAGTTTTTACAACAAACAAGTAGAAACTCTGACCTGCTGTAAGAAGCCATCTTGAAGTGTGGGTTTGTCCAAACTGTGGGTTGACCTGCCGCTGTGCTCCTACTGCCTGGTCACGATGTCAATCAAAGGTGGTTCACGCCCAAAAGCAGATGCTCCTCCGAAGTCTGTTTGACAACAGAAAGAGAACATCATGAAACACTGGATCTAATGTGCTGTTAAAGAATTTTTTAAAAAATTAATTAGTGATTCTGGACCAAAGACTATAACAAAAGGGAATCCGGGCTTTTACTTGTGAAATTCAATCAGGAAATGGGGGAAGTAGCAGTAACAGTGTAGGAAAAATACAGGAAATTAAGAGGGAGATGAAAATGTTGGTAAAAGTATTAAAGACACACATCTGCTCATTTCCTATAATAAAATGTTTTATTTAATTTTAATTGTATATAGGCTTATATTTCTTTTCCTCGTGTCTCCTGGTATTTCCATCAGATCATTCTCAGAGAAACACAGAATATACTTATTCAGATCAAGCAGACAAAAATCAAAATGAACAGGAAGACAAAGAGAGGCTGATGTTTAAAATCTATTCACGCCATATTTGACTTCAAACATCAACATCAAAACTCAACTTATTTGAATAAATATCCTATCCAGACGTCTGCCTCTGTTATGCACAAAAATGTTTATATTTTTAGCACAATTTCATAACATCAAGCACTCCTGTAAATTACGGTTTGAAGAATTTGGGGGGGAAAAACAGGCGACAACAAAGTGTTGAGTTTAGAACAAATGTTTGGTGTTTTCATCCACCCTGACAGTCATGAGTAGAAAAGAACAATCATTTGAGGAAAAATAAAAAAGGCCAAATACAGTATGTCCTGTTTAAAAGCAACAAGGCATTTCCACCAAACTGACATCTGCCCAAACACTAAAATAAATTATATTATTATGGGAAAAAAAAGTAAAGGTCTACATGCACTCAGCAGTACTTTAGTCGTAGTTTTCCACTTTTTTATCCAAAGCACCAGTATAGCTAAATGATCCGATCGTAACCTGCTGAAAGCCCGAGTTGCACAGTGAAAATAATTATCCCTTTTACTGTACCCACGCCCCAAAAAATAAATTCCTTCAACGTAGGGTGTGTCCTGTCTCTGCTAGAATATTTTGAGAATGTACACGATGTCAAAGGTCAGAGAAGCACTGATTTATGACTGTGGATCATAATTGGTAGAAAAGTGAAACCCATTTAGGGTCCAGTTTTAACCCCCGACCCACATTTATCCATTAACAGTAGCTCATTAGCGTACGGTAGCGTGAAAAATATGACCTAAAAAGTTTTTTTTTTTGAAAAGAGTGACAAAGCAAGTCAACGAAATAATATATATATATATATAAAAAAAAGAAAAATAATAACTCACCACAACGACTTATCAACCGGTGTTTTGAACTTGTCCAAAGGCAGTGACACCAAACGCCTCCTACTTCGTAAGCTTGTTTTGGTGCAACAAACGGCTTACACAGAAAAAATGTGGGGGGGAAAAACTGCAGGCTTTTACATTTTAGGTCATTTTTAAAATGGAAAGTGTTAGAGGCCAGATCACACGAACAAAACAAACGTCTTGACACGTGCCAATCAGCACAGACGGGTGTAAATAAGAATCGGTAATTTTTCAAAATAAAAGCATGGTGCTCCAGATCTCTATTACCTCTTAAGTCGATAGACAACAATTTATTGGCCTGAATCTTTACAAAGATTTACCACAAACTACATTTGTGGTAAATATTTGTAAAAACCACAACTGTCTTTAAGAATGCCATACATTTCTCATACACAGACCTATTTTTGAACAGTAAAAACAGAACGATTTCTGTGTACTTTGAACACTGTTTCTCAAAGATTTTTTAACACAAATGTCTAGGCAGGCAAATCCATAATGTTTTACCCACTCACTGTAAAACACAGCAGCACTAATGCAATACATCTTGTTAACGCAAACATCAGCTTGAACTGGATGTTTGAATTCGCCAACGCTTTCATTAGCTACATTACGATGCCTTCCGGCGCAGCAAAACCAACGCCGACAAACAGTGGCTCTGCTAGCAGCAGCAAACTGGATTATAGATATTGGACTCGACTGAGCATTAAATTTAAGGTGAGTGGAAGCCAAAGATATTTTTCTTGAAGACAACATAAACATGAATTAAGACAGCGTTCACGGTACATTTATACCAGCGGTTGCCTGTCTTAAACAGTCTTCTGTACTTTAGGTGCATACAATCAAAACATGAAAACACTCATTTTTAGGACTTACTTGAGTTTCTTAGAACTTTTTGACCCCTGTATTAAAATTTTGTGATGTGATCGTAAAGGAGATTTTTAAACTATAACCATTTATCTTGTTACAATATAAACAGAGTTGAATCATTTGGAACGAGCCCATGTTACTTTACATTTGTAATAGTAATGAAGAGAGCCAGTAGTGGGTTCACAGGAAAACCCCAGCTGTGGTTAATTCAAAATAACACTTTTAACATTTCTGTATGTTATACGATCACAGTCCTCCTTGAGTGACTCAGAACTACCTACAGTATGTCTTTTAGAGGAGGTGAAATGTTAACAAGAAACTCAAATTTGTCCTGCACATGAAAGCAAAAACATTCGTTTTTATTCTCCCTTCTTCACTAACATTCTTTTAGATTTAATTTTTAATTGCTTCAACTCAGAAAAACTAATAAACCTAAAGTGGGTTTAAGGTATTTAAAAAAATACTACAGTGTAAATAAGTTTTAGTAAATAAAATGCATAAGATATGTAGCTATTAACTAACAAAATAATAATAATACATTGTTTTATAATAACTGTAAAAAATACAACAGAATTCCTGTTGAAAAATGACGCAGTAGCTTGATTTGGTATAAACTGTAATACTCTATATAAAATGAGATGAAGATACATGATGTCCTTACACTGTATATATACACTGTGGCTTATACTAAATATCTGACAGGAAACATTTGGTTCCCTCAGTACAGACAGTATTGTTACACTTTCTCCATCCCAAACTGACGCACTTTCACAAAAATTTGAAGGGGGAAAATTATTATTTTTATATCTGCTTATGTCAGTGGTTCTCAAATGACGGGTCACAACCAAAAAGAGGGTCACAGGGCAATCGTGGGTCTACATTATACCAGTAAAAACATTATTTTTGTGGATGAAGAAGATCATTTGAAAACTACTGGTTTGTTGAACTCCTGTCATCAAAGTAGAGCCGTCCTCCGGGACATTGTTCATAGAAGATATTTGTTTAGTTTCGTCTGAAAAAAAAAAGAGGGTTCCTTTAAACAGAAGCTTAGAAACACCAATCAAATATTCAAAGAGGTGAACCAGGGGGTAGAGAGGTTCAGTACAAATGTCAAAAAGTAAGTCCAGATGAGTACTTCCTCTGGAGGAGACACTAAAACTCAAACATTTCATTCTGTTTTTTGGCCAGTTTGGCCACCTCCTGTCTGATAGCCTGCACGAGTGCAGAGGTGGAGAGGCTGCTGAGGGGAATGCTGTCAATGTCCTTCACCACCTGCGGCAGGTTTTGCTGGGATGATGTGCTCGGGGTGAGGGAGGGCTGCTCCAGCGACTGCTTATATTCCAGAGGCAGCCTGGTGGGGCTGCTCTGTGGGTAGCGGGGGTGAGGAAAAGCCTCTACGTAACCTGGCAGGGGCAACTGGAAAACAAAAAAGCACGTTTACTATCAGGCGTACACGGTGAATGAGTGTGTTCTGTCCCAGTATTTTCCATAGACGACACAACAAACTGTACATTTCAAAAATGATTTGGGAGCTCAGAAATGATAGGCAATGGGCTATTTCTGGGCTGAGAGCCACCAGTTGGCAACCAGATTGAATCTCTTTGATTTCTTGATGTTTTTACTCCATTGAAACTTGAATATTACAAACCCTAAACGTTGCATAATTGCCAGTGGATATAAAGAGATAACAAGACAGTTTTAACATGAACTTAAACTTCACATGACTACAAAGGCTTTAAAGTTAGCTTGTTAATTAATTTCTGATTAATCAGATAAAAACTATGTTTTTATCTGATTCTATCGTAGGGGCAGAATGATGTGCTCTGTATGCATAATGATTCTACCATGCATACACTTATCTTTGCTTTAATACACATTCAATATACACATACTTACTTGCACACAATTTTGTTATATTAACCCTGCGGCTTAAAAATAACATCTCAACATTAATCATGCTTAATTTAAATCATGACCCATCTTGATTAATCTACAGCTATCCCCTGTAATCAAAATGTAAATATACAGTATTGTATTTTTACTTTATTTTTATAAATGAAGATGAGCTTAAATAAGCTCATAAGCTTTGTCCTGGGGCTCAAATAGAACCTTAAAAAGTCTACTGATCACAGACTTGCATCAATTACTGGGTTAAAAATCATAGAAATTTACACAGTAAAAAAGAAACATTGTTTCTGACACTGAACGACCAACATCTGACCAGTTTGCCAAAAAGCTTTCTTACAGAGTCTGCCCACTGGGGTGGCACATCCTCAGGCTCTGGTGGATAGGACATCCAAGAGGGACTGTGGTAGGAGGTGGGAGGGGAGGAAAGAAAGTATTCTGAGTAACCAGACCTGGAGGCTGGGATGGCGTAGACAGCTGTTATTGGATTTCCTGAAAAAACACACAGTCAAAATGTTTGTTACTTAATCCTTTTCAGGGTCGCGGTTGGCGTCTCTGCAGTCATCCGGTGAGGGCAGAGGTCACCCTGGACAGGTCTTCAGTTTGTCAAAGGGCCACACAACCATTCACACTCATATTCACACCTGTGGCCAAGTGAGAATGAAGAATTAAAAGTCTCTCATTACTTTCAAAGACTGAGCCTCTGATGGAAGCTCCTTTTATACCCATCAGTGAAGTCATTTCAATGGTTTTGATTCTTAAATAAAACATTTAGTAAAAAAATAATATTCTAGGTGGTTATTTTTATTTTTAAATATTTATTATATCATACATTTTGCTCAATGAGAAGTGTAGCAAACAGCCAGTGTCTCACTCTCCTGTTTACCTGAGTAGTTGGACAGAGGCTGGTCTGCAGAGATAGATGGAAGTACTGCTCTGCTGTTCGGCCCGTACGGGTTGGTGTCATGGTGACTCTGCATTTCCCTGACGGATTTCTCTGAGCTCCGTCCTTTTGGCCCCAGGTCAGAAGTGGAACTGAGAAATGGAAACACACACACACACAACGCACACACGGGAAGAGCTGGTGTAATACCGCATCAATCCCGCTAGATGGCAGACAGGCTCCATGTGTTACAGCGAGTATCTCATTGACATTCTTGGCATCTCTCAATGCACTAGTTCAATATTAAAATTTATACAAAGCCCTAATATGAGCCCGGCCGCAGAACATTACCTTGTGAAACCGTGAATATTAATTTGAATGTGGGTAAGTGCAGAATATCTGATGGGATTTGAAAAGGCTACACACAGCATATGATTGTGTCTGTCCGTGTGTGTGTGTGTGTATCTGTGTGAGTGTGTGTATATTAGTCTGTACATCTTATTCTGCCTCACCGTCTGACGGATTTCCCAGGAGGAGGCTCAGTTCGAGGCGGTAACGGTGGAGGAGAAGCCATCTCGGGAAGCTGGGTGAAGCGAAAGGCCTGAAAAATAGAGTGAAAGGCATTTAAGGTAACACACACACACACAAACACACTATTGTAATTCTCAATAGGGGGAACGACAATGAACGGCCACTTCATTAGGTACCCTTGTTGAACTGCTCAATACTGCAAAAGATCTAATCAGCCATTTACTGGCCAGTAACGACATGGAAAATCGGCAGGTAATCATGGTCAGGTTAACCTGCTGAAATTTAACACATTAACCTGAGAACTGTAGGTTGGATTGGGACTTTCCCGAACAACCATCTCCACGGTTTCCGAAGAACAAATAAGACAGAGCTAAGATTTTAGTCCGTGTCAGAACAGTGAGGCTGGTTCAAGCTGATAAGAAAACAACAATCAAGGCCTGCAGAAGAACATGACACGGTGCAGCTGATGGTTTATGGCAGCAGAACGTACCAGTTGTCCAACACCCCAGACTGTCTCAGTCTGGGGGGTTGTCCAAAACTGGACAGTGTAAAAAAAAAGATGCTCCACTGTAGGACCATACAGATTTCAGGGATTGTAGGGTTAAAAGTTTATGCGGGAGTATTTTGGGGCTTTTTAGATTGGATATCAACACCAGTATGACTAACATTAAAATGCACCATGAACCAATAGCAATTTTTTGGTGTGATTTGCCAATAACAACACTATGTACAAAAAGCAAATTGTTCTTCACCAGAAAACTGTATTCTCATAGGGACTAATTATGAAACATTTCCCAACAAAACTCCATAGAGCAATAATATTATTCTGAATAATCTGTCAATACAATACGTATCACGATACACAGGCAACGATACGATATATTGCGATATACTGCAATATTATAGGCACGACAATATATTGATTATATAGTGATTTTAAAACAATTTAATTGTAGGAAAACTTAACATAACAAACATAGTAAACACACCAGTCTGTTAGATGCTTAACATCAGGTTACTAAAATTGGAACACAGGCATCTACATTTGTAATAAAAAGTGAAAATGGACATAATGACGGTGTGTGTCACCTCAGCCGACTTACTGGTTTCGGCAGGCTGCACTGATATAGGTCTGCACCATAGGATGGTACCCACTGCAGGCCCCCCTGCCCGCAGCCCATCGTACTGGGGGCACTGGTCACCACCTCTGCATAGGGTAAAGAAGGGGCTGCTGGACTGTAGGGGTCAGGAGAGGGTTGATGGAGGTGGGACTGCCGTCCAATGGTGGACTGTCCTCCCGAGGCCAGAGTGAAGGCCTCCTCCAGCAGCAGGTGCATCTGCTGTCGCACTTCATCGATTGATGGCTGTGAGCTCAGAGTGGATGTCTCAGAGTGACCTTTTAACCCCCGTCCATACAGGTATCCCCGCGTCCCGACTAGACGGTCCACGTTGGTCTCCTCGATCAACTCTGGCTCCGTCTAAAACACAATCATGAGATTTTTTTTTTCACCCATGTTTGCCAAAACCTCAGCGATGTGGTTTAAAGTTGGGGTTAAAGTAAAGTCAAGTTTTAAACAACGGGACGGCAGTGAGAAGGGGCTCAATATTTTAAATTACAGCAGGAGTGAAGTACAGGCACTGTAGAGAGGCAATGGCTTTATGGAGTGAAGAGTGAGTGATGAAAAGTTATAGTGGGCCAGGAGGACAAAGAAAAATCAATACCTATTTAGAAACATAGTGGCAGCGGCATAACACTTCAGGGCAGCGTTTTTCAAGCTTTACACAGAACACAGAATGTCCCAAAATATCTGTCTCTCCATTCAAATAACATTCTCCCAACATACAAATACACCAGCAGAGGACTACTCTACATTAACACCACCACCAGGTCACAAAAAACGTGGAGGACATCCCTATATCAGATTATTTGTTTGCAAAAGACACACTGTACAGTACAATAGTATGGTACTGTACTACAACGTACACTTCAAATCAATTAGGTTTCCCTGCGTACCGAAACATACTACAACGTACACTTCAAATCAATTAAGTTTAGGTTTCCCTGAGTACCCCAACGGTAAACGTACCATAGTTTGAGAACCACTGGTTCAACACAACGTACCATAGTTTGAGAACCACTGGTCCAACATAGTGTGTTGCAAAGAAACAAAAAAGCTATAAAAACAAACTATAGCTGTAGTTTTTTAAAATCCAAACTACATTTGTGTGCAGTTATTTTATGCCTGTGACATTTATGAATGACTAACTTCAATGTTTTATCTTCTCTTTCCTTTTTTTTTAAAGTCCTCACTCTCTTCCTCTCTTTCTTCCCCCTCTTCTTTAATCCAGTCTCTGTATTGGGTGATAACTTGATACAACTAAAGGCTGCCCTACTTCCTGTGCGTACAGACTGTGGCCACATGAGACTTAGCCTGGTGCACCTCATAAATCAGGCCTCTGTGCAACGAGAAACCACCAAGACGTCTGCAGGGAAGGGGTCTTCAGCTACACCACAGTCCAGTGCAATCAGCCGGACCAGAAGTTCTGAGGGTGGACTCTGGAGCTGGTTTGGCCTTTAGTATTACATTTATCACAGAGCCAACAAGTCGTTAATCAGAGTTTGGCTACAGCACAGAGAAGGTAATAATTATAAAGATAATAAAATATATATAAAAAACAATGTTTTTGTAAAATGTCAAACATAGATTTTGTGTTTGAGGTTTTCAAGTCAAACAAGTTCGACTAAAAATTAAAGGAGGAAGAATATGATTGGTCATCATATTTGATTGATAGGCAAATCATCCAACACAGCAGTTTCCTTCAACTTGTGACCGATCAACTTTAGTCTCCTGCTTTGTTTTATTTAAAGTATTTCCATTTATATTCAAATTAATAATTACATTTATATACATTTTAGTGAAGACATGGTTGCGTGATACAGCTCAATACCCATATTTTAAGAATATGTCTTAAAAGACAACAGATGTCTAGGATGTCTCATTTTAACAGGTCAAGTGCATTAAAGTGCCTCTCAGGTGTTTTCTATAGCTTGGACAGGTCTGTCATTCTATCTTTGCCAGCTGTGTTAAATTTTTATATGATCAGGTTTTTCAACCCTCGAAATTGAAGCACTTTGAAATCAAAGCAAATGTTAATCTTTTAGAAAAAAACTTAAACGGTAAACTGTTAAAATTATTGATATAGCTCCATTTAAGACAAATTTCCACAGTTCCACAGTTAAATATATGAAAAATAATAAATATGAAAATGAAATGAATGAATGAATGAAATGATAAATCCATGCGGTGGCCATGAACCTCTTTAATTTCATGCAGCCTCCGTGCTGTTTCTCAAACTTCTCTAACACATCAAATACATTTCAAGGGACATTTCACAGGTAGCTGGAGTAAAAACCACTGCTTGAGAATCTTTTGGGCACAGGAAACCTTAAATGACCCAATTTCACTTAGAATAGAAACAAAATAGAAATAGCATCAGTGCAGCGTTCCTCGATCGAGCGCCTGCGGTTGCTTCTCTTTTTCAAAATGAAAGACCTTATGTCTCTGTGTTGGTGGAGGCCAGTGAATAATGAAACATGACTCACATCGTAGCCGCTGTTACGAATGCCTTTCCTGGGTCTTTCCCTCATAACCAGCAGGTCCATCTCTGTTCCTCCTGGACTGGGACTGCTCAGACTCTGTCGACTGCGGTAGGCCGTCTGCCCTACCTGGGAATGCCTGACAATTAGAGCAAAAAGTGGAGTTAGTTACACCTCAGGTGGTTATTAAATTCAAAAAATGTCATTATTTATTTAGTGGTGCCTGCAGTTAGAAGGGACTGGAAGGTAGACTAAAGATCTGATGTAATAAGGGAGACATAATGATCATAATATTTTTACTTCCCTTGAGGTGAAGTTGTGGGTTTCACGTTATGCCACAAGGAATTTACACGCAGATGATTGAGTCTTAACATTTAATTAAATCTTCCAAGTTTTTATATCAGGCTTCAGTTAGCTATGAATTCGTCCTAAGATAAAAGCTGTTATTAATCCTGTCCTCTTTGATGACATTCTACATCTATAATGTATAACATTATCAAAGTATTAACTTTTCATGAGGACTACTGTTATTGGTTAACCTTAAAAACAATTAACCATGACTGAGTGAGAACAATGATACAACAGGTAAATAAAAACACAAGAAAGAAGCTGTCCTGTGCGATACAACAGGTAAATAAAAACACAAGACAGGATGTTCAGAAAGAAACTGTCCTGTGGTATGACAAAGTCAGGAGTGGTGGAAAAGTGGGTGAAGGTGGTGTAGGGCATGAAAAAGGAAGAAACAAAAGGACATGCTTAAAAAATATCACAGTGGATCTCTTGTAACTTAGTTGAATCAGTGTGCAGATAATGTTACGTCATGTTATTACAACAATGAGATTTTAGGAAAGGGTGTTGAGAGAGAAAAAAAACAATCTACCAGGAAAAAAAAGATTGACTATCTATAACGCATAGTTGGCACACATGAATATGGTGGCATTAGCGGGGGTAACTTGGAATTAAAGCAATGAGTGAAAAAGCCAGCAGCCTCTAAATCAGGCTGTACTGACTCATGGTAGCCAAAATATATATAGAGTGAAAGCAATAATTTTATGGGACCAATAAAGGCTGATGACGCAATTTTTCTATTGCCATTAAGCCTGTGCACACACTCTCAACATCACCATAATAATGTCAGGTTAAGACCAAAGGTTGTTTCATCTTTTGAATTAATCTGTCCTAATCTTACACCAAACACAAAATGGGAGGTCGGTCTTCGTAAACATATGAATCAGTAAAGTCTAACAAAACAATAATGCAGAGAGGGCAAGATGCATATCAGCAAATATGATATAAAATGATTACTTAAACCAGGGGAAGGCTCAGAGCGAGCAGTACATTCCATGGTAATAAACGCTAAAGTCCATATCATGCTCACCTGGGTGTTGTATAAACACTGAGGCTCAGCTACTCCTCGTACACCAGCAGCATTTTAACATTTAAGCCACATTTATACGTTTGCTACGACTACGGAGTCTCGGGATGGAGAGCGGCCTTGTCTTTTTACACGGACCCGGCCGGCGCAAGAAACTTCCGCGTTCAATCGCTAATTGTGTAAACCAGGCGTCCGCCATTGTTGTTATTGTGTGACGTAGGCGTAGGTGACTAGGGTAAAAGGTTACAGAGGGGCGGGGCTGGCCTGGCCGCATCCGTTAACCTTACTCCAAACGCAGAGGCGAAATTCCCCAACTTTTCAACTTATTTTTGGAGCTGGTGTGGTTTGTTCTGCTCCGAGGGGTTGTTGGGTTTTACCGTGCGTCGACAACACTGCTGATTGAATTAGCTGGAAATAAACCGCTTTATAATAAACCAATTAGCTGCCTCTGACTCATTTTACAGCTACTGTATGTAAGAGGCTTCCACTAGGTGGCAGCAAACTGATGTAAAAACTTAACTTAAAAAAAGAAAGACTTAGAGCTGTTTGAGTGCGTTTCTTCTCCAATTCCTGAGTATATCAGCAAAGTAAACTCAACTAAACAGGCCCAGGTTTCACACTGAGTAAGTAAATGGTGGTACATTATGGGATTTCCCTCAGTGAGTTCACTTCTTATTATAGTGAAATCTATATTGAAGCCAAATCCCATCGTTCTCCTCTCATTGTCCTCCTCACCTCCTTTGGGACTTGACATAAGTGGAACCTGGGTCATCTTCGGGCTCCAGTGGTCTGCCCTGATCCACAGCTGATCTCTCGTGGCTCTGCCGTTGTCTTTGTGCTGGCACTCTGCTGCTGCTGCTACCGTTGGTAGAGGGAAAGTCATAATAACCCTTTCTCTTAGCCTTCAGTCTCAGCTTGTTCCTGTAGTGCTCGATGTCTGACTTCTGCTTCAGAGCCAGGTTCACCTGCAGGGAGGATGAAATGAGCACGTGGGGGGTCAGGGTGAGACAGGCTCAAGGTTCTTTGTGGTGAGTGAAGTTTGGTCACTACATTATCTGATCACAATGGAAGAATTGTTCTAGATCCATGGTTATTTTATACTTGGGCTTGGACAACTTTACCTTGGAAAATAATCCTTTCCTAAGAGCTACATAACAAGGGGAATCCCCAGTTGTATTATTATAAACACTAATGTGAAAATGATGCACCTTTAGCTACAAGGTGTTGAAATAAATGGTCTACAATTTAAAATGGATTTTTTTTTTTTACTTTGGCCGCATCTGCAAACAGAAGGGCAACTTGGTCTCTCTTGGACCAAATGTTCTTTTTTCTGACAATCCTGTTTCCAACAACATCACCTTATTGATGCCAGAGGTCAGAGAAGACGGAACAGAAACTCTAATAAACCCCCTTGAGAGAAAGTAACGGATAGCAATTTAGTTTTTATAATAATTAATTTAATATTGTTAAATATGGTTGCTGTATTTTTCTGTAGTATCTATTGCTAGTGTGTTTTTAGCTAATTAATCATCTGTAAATATATTATTTATTATCATTTTCTAGGTTAATCTTTAAAGAAAAATAATAAAGTTCTGTGGGGATTTTAGAGGTGTGAGTGATTTTAATTGCTACCTTTTTTGGGACTATGTTCTTTAGTTGTCTGTTATTAAACTACAACCAACTACTTAAACACCACAGCCCTAAGGGATATCGTTGATGAAGAAATCCACTAGACATTTTTGGTGGATAATTTACGATAAGGCAGAAACATTGAAGAAAAAAAGAAGTTGTTTTCCTGGAGTGAATCATTGACATTCACAGCTGCTACTGTAGGTGTAAGTTACTGAATTTATTTATGTATTTATTTCAAGTGTAGTAAATATAAATAAGAAAATGTATCTGTGCATATAGGAAAGTATAAATTGTACAAGTACACAAGTGACCAAGCCTTTTTGTGGTGTGCTAGTGGATTGTTGTTATTAATGCCACTGAGTAGCATGGTTTTCAATGTCATTTTGATAAAGACTCAAGGCACAGACATTAATATATAAAATATCTCCCTCGTCCAACACAGGTGAAAAGATTTTTTTCTCTTTGTAATGAATGTCTAGAAAGAGTTCATCGCTGCTGCATCACCTCTCCATTGACTATGATGGAATCCTGGCTGCGGTCAGATGAGGCATGGTGGGAGTAGCTTGGCTGAGTGGTCACAGGCTTTATGGAAATGAGCTGCAGGGAGCCAGAGGAAGTGTCGTATGGATCTAAAAAATAAAGAGAGAGAGAGAGAAAGAGAGAGAGAGAGAGAGAAGAGGGACCGCGTTCACGAACAAAGACTACAAATACCTCCAGTCATTTCACTGTCATACAGTGAGGTGTCAAACTAGGACAACTCTCCATCTTACTCTCATCACTTTATCTCTCCGCAGATCAAACATCCGTCACCTCCATCAGCAAATGAAGTCGTGGACGGACACAATAGATCACAAAGATGTTTTTGGCTTCCGGAGTTGCGGCAATGTATCTCTGTGACAAATGGAAGGAGCTGACTCTGCACTTTTATGACACGATATCTGACACCAGACAAACTAGATTTAACTCCAGATCCCACCAACTCAGCTGATGAATAATTCAAATCCTTCCATTAGGGAATCACAATGCCCACAATCACGGGAGAATTTAATTACGTGATTTAATTAACGTACTGTACACAACGGGCCACACATGGAACTGGTATCAGATGGTGTGAGAATCCATGTGGCAAACGCATGGTGTATTGTGTATAAAATCATTACACTGTCCATCTACTTATTGTTGACCACAGTATTTACACACACTGGAGGAACACCCAACAGCATCTTTTTTGGTATTTCTAACTTTAGCTCAGACACCTAGCTTACGTCAAATCTGCTTCCTTAACCACCAAGCCACCACTTTCCATGTTTTACTTTTTATTTTCTTCTGACATTTTTTTCCCATTAATTATCCCATTGTTTTGATTAGTCACAGAAAGAAAAAAAAAGGGCATTAAACACGGACTGTACATCTACCTGCTGTTATTTGTTCCAGCAATATACATTGATTTATTGCAATTAATCATAATTAGTCATGATAACCTACTATCACAATTAATCATGATTAAACAAGTCTGTTTGTACTGCATCATATCAGCAGTGCGTGTGTCTGATGAATATTCATGAGGTGTTTTCTCACTCTGCTGATTTGAACCTCAAACAAAAGACACAGAGAGAAAGTTCCCCCACGTTTCTCTCTCCCTACCTGTGTGGGTGACACACAGGCTGACACCGTGAGCAGATTTCCAATGTTGGTGACACGCCTGACCTTCCCTTCAAAGAAGATGTAAAATTAATATTTTGCATCTCACCTTCCCTCTTGCGCATCTCCTCCTTTGTGAGTTTCTGCTGTGCTGTGACTTTTGGCGCCGTCAATCCTCTGCCAGAATTGGGCTTCTCTGATTCGTTGCTGATGACGGAACCATCCTCGCTCGGCAACTTGCTGCAAGTAACCATAGCAACAGGAAAGGCGGTGAGCTCTGGGATGGCTGGGCACACGGCCAGGTTATGTCATTCCTCTCTTTAGCAGCATCACTTTCCTCTACCTCGCCTCAACACTGAGACCGTGAAACATTATATGGTAATTTAGATCATTTATAAAAATGAGGTTCAGTCATATATTTAAGGAGGTCATTTATAAACTACTTCAAATGCGCCAAAACAATTCTTTATGTTGGGCCTGAAATATGTAGATGTTAGCCAAAGATAATACAAAGTTGGCAAAATAACAATGAGCCTGGAAATATAAGTAATCCCTTAGACCAGGATTATATAAATTAGCGTTATAAATGATTAAAGTCATTCAAAATGTCTAATGTTTGACCTGCTCCTATTTGTTCTTTTTTCCAGTAGATGGAAGTAAATCAACAAAAGCATCCTGACTGCCAAAAAAATCCAGAACACATCCAAAGAATTTGGAGAAAGGTGTCATTTTTAAAAAAAAAAGTTTTACACAAGGAAAAAAAAAAAAGAAAAAAATCCTAATGTTTAGCCCAAAGATAGCTGCAGGCTTCTACTGTAAGTGATATATATATTTTTTTTTTTAAAACAACATGACCTGGTTTCTCCCCTTTCTGTCCCAATGAAATACACACATGAGGATTATTTCACCAGAGGGTGGCGCTCCTGCAAATACGGTAAATGCTAAATGCCAAAAACATATCAATTTAAAAAATGTACAGAGACAGTTTATAGTGTATAGGGAGAGGATATATAGCACAATGCTAACTGTTAGCCAAAAGATTAGCTTTTGGCTAAGAGGTAGCTATTACAAAAACATTTAAAGTTCTTTCTGAAACATCTCTACGTTGGTCATCTTTTTTTAATCTTATTTTTCCTTTAAATATAATTGAGATGAAGAGAACATAATCAGAAAGTGGCAGTAGTGAAGCCAAAGGAAGACAACTGCCAAAAAAAAATTACAAAATAAATTCAACCAATTAGTGTAACAGCTTAATGTTAATATATAGAGAGCAAAAGGGAATTTTAGGCAAATGGATAGTCTCATAAAAATTGTTCCATAACTGGGAAATTATAATGTCTCCTATACATTTTTATGTTTTTTTTTTTGTTCCTTGTCCTTTTCGCAACTGTGGATATGAAGCAGCGGTTCAGAGGACTGGGAGGCTGACATTGACATCAAAGCACCGTGGCCTTTTCTCTAATAGTCTGCTAAAAACTGATAACAGTACTCAGACCACGTGTACCAGTAGCTGCCCTTCTGTGTTGTCTCTAAGGCGAGCTGCGGGGAGGCCTGACAAAGACAAGTACTGTGCAGAAATGAAACAGCGTCTCCGTAGATTTCAACAACTTAGTGTCGCCGCTCCTTAACAGGCTCGGTGAATATGTGTGTAACATGTGTCCAATACGTCGGGAAAAGAAATGAATGTCAGTGATTCTGTGCCACGTTCAAAGTAAATTCATTCATTCTCATTACTTGAGCCCGTCATTGAAACGTGCACAGAGCTGTGAACTGGTTGATCAGCACAGGCTAAAACCAAATGTATTCATATCATTTGGTTCATATCATATTCCAGGTTAAAGGCTTTGAATCTGCCTTTAACTACTGAGCAAAGTCACTTCTTAGTCAGGTTGTACGCGTAGCATTGGTCAATCCAAATGTCTCACATTCTTGTACAGTTAAACCATGTCATCTGTGACAGTGACAGGCAGAAAAAAACAAATGCTCTTCACTAAGTAGCAGCAGCAGCTTGGTAAATTTTCTTTTTTTAAAAAAGACATTGAGAGCTGTTGAATGTGACTTTCTTGAGTGCCTTTCTTCAATTCCTGGGAGTTTATTAGCACCGTGTTCAACTAAACAGGCCCATGTATTACACTGAGTAAGAGACTGTCTGGAACACCCATTCTCAATGACCGCTTGGATTGGCTACAGCTCCACTGCAACCATGAAACAATTCAGTAGAAGAGCAATGAAAATTTGAATTATTTTCAGCTTCCTTAAATGTCATTGTGAGTCACTTCCTGTGAGTGGTGAGCCCACCGCCCTAACTGGGATTCAATCTATATATCTATGTCTATATGTCTATATATATATATATATATATGTATATGTATATATATATATATATGTTGTTTTCTTTTGTAGTTACACTTACATGCTGTTTAGTTGATAATGTTTTCTACAAGTGAGTTTACAAAAACCTGTATTGATATTATTGACTAAATTGTTTAAAGGATGTTTTGTCTTGACATCCTGTGCAAAGTTTTAAAGGATGTTTTGTCTTGACATCCTTTGCAAATTGTTTAAAGGATGTTTTGTCTTGAATGGCCTTTATGCAAAGTAACACTTCTTATTAATTTAAACAGTATTTTCTCAATTTTTAATTTTCCTTAAATAAATAAGTTTATATTTCTGAGATTGCAAAAGAATGATTAGTGACACATAAAATCATGGAAATCTTTACGGCCAACAGTTACATGAACCACTTTTGCTGCATCCGGAGGCTCCAGAGCCGTTACTGCAGGACCTTTACTCTACAGATCTCCATAACTCGTCACATAAATTCCCCTGGATCTCATTATCTAGAACAGCACTGAAAAATGACGCCCTTTTGCATTTAGTGGATTTCATAACTTAGCGTGATTTAAAGCGGCAATTAATTTCAGCAACGCCTCAAATGACAGTGAAATAATGGAGACGGTTGGTTTCACCTCAACATACAGCAGACACTGTTAATGAAAGTCTCTCAGCGTCGGTGTAGAACCATGACAGACAGTAATGCTGCAGGGATACGTGTGTGTTTTATTGTTCCAACTCTTTACAGGACCCAGGAGCTTTGTGACAGCAGTCACCAAATCCCTGGGATAACACAAACACTCTCAAAACAAATATATTACCATCTGGATGATTGCTTTGTGCCAGTGAATATTCCAGAGTAAACCGGGACGATGTCGTCTTTATAATCTGGTTGAGGAAGAAACATGTTTCCCTCTAACATACCAACATGGAAAAAGACATCTGCACCAGGATTTGGAATTAAATCAAAATCCTGATGAAAAAAAAACAGGATTTGGAATTAAATCAAAATCCTGGTGCAGATGATTAACAAAATCCTCCTAAAATTATTCTTAGAATTTTCAAAAGCGATTTTGAGTGCGTTGGAAATGTTTTTACGTAGACTACACAGTTCTCGTTTCTTATATTTAGCCATAAAAATGTTAGCCAGCAGGATAATGTTCAGGCTTTTCGTGGTCACACGGCACAGCTGTTCTGCACGATTAAACGAAACTAAAAGTTTTAAAATGTCACAACAGATGGTTAAAAAACGAAACTGGTTTTAAAGGAGAAAAGCCAGAGGCGAAACATTTAAACCTGTTACCTGTGTAAAGTTGTTGCTCACGGCAGCGCAGTTTTCTACTCTTCGATAACTACATGTTTATAATTCCTCTCATTACGGCATGGGAAGTGTGGGACAAATTAGGAAAAATGTCCTTAAAATAATATATTCTGTGTTTAAAAGTCTTATAATGAGGGATTCAAATGATGCTGTTGGTTAAAAAAACTGGAATTGTGGCACTGGAAATAACTATAAGTGGTTCATAAATCTAAATAGTCATGAGTTTAACAGCCTGAACAAAAAAAAAACTGAAAGTGAAAGTGTCAAAGAATAAAATGTAGATAATGAATATATATATATATACATTATTAAAAGATGAGCCCAGAATTATCTTAACGTTGTCAAATAGAGCTAAAAACAGTTGATTTTTATTACGATTGTAAAGAAGACAATCAAAATGATTTGACTGTAGCCAAAACACTTGAGTCAGTGAAGTAAACAACAGTCGACCTGGCAGTTAAAGGTGGACTGATCTGAGATCTGTTTCACTGAGCGCTTTCAAATAACTATCTTAAGCATAAATGAGTCATTTTGCAGCACATTTCAACTCAACATCATCCTGATTATTTAACTGTATGTGTTGACAAAACACACAGCAAACTGTTGGCACTGGATAAAACATGGAGACATAAGAACTCCACGTCATCTCTCTAGCCAACAGTGGCTACAGCACGGGGCCGATAATTACCTCTTCTGCTTGTCACTGCTGAGGCTTTTCTTATGTGCGGTTCCATCTTGTTGCAGGGTCTTTTCCAGTGACAGCGGGGTGTCTCTTAATTTGAGGGACATCACCAAGGTGTCCTGGCTGACAGGCAGCGTCTCCTCCTCCCCTCCCTGACGGCCCAGGTGCTGCTTGGCGTAGTCAAAACCCTGGACTGGCTGGTGGACAAGTCGAGAGAGGGCAGAAAATGACAGGAGGCGTCAAAGGTGGTTTGTTGACACATCGTACTTTACTGTCTGAGCAGAAATAACAAGAACCTGACAGAGGGTGAGGAAAATGGTAAATATGAAGTATAATGTCCAGGAATACTGCACTACTACTACTGCTACTACTCTTAAAACAATTAATACATTCGATAAATTACATTACATACATTAGATAAGGAAGATAACAGGACTCCCTCTACTGGTATACAAAGGAATCTGACTCCCATTACAACTAGGTTAGTTTGTAAAATACTTAATCGATGTATCGATGCTCAATGATTGATGTGTTAATGGATTGGATATTTAATAAAATATGTCCATAAAAGATGACAAAGTAAAACACAATTACCCTCAGGTAGTATTACAGTACTGTACTGTACAGTACTGTACTGTACACGTACATGTCAGACCCACATGGGCTACAGATGGAGCCAGTGGGGTATACACATTGGCAAATCCACATCAAATATAAAATCACACACAGTCTATTCTAATGTAGATAAGCCCTGTTTTAACTGAGGCTCTTTTTCATCCCCCATTCTCCAAATTCTTGTCAGAAAAATTACACACAGTTGGTGGGGACGAGATGAGATTGGACAGAAATACTTACACAGAAGTAAAAGTAATGGAATTGAAACGCTGACACAGACAGTATAGGAGATAAAAATCTCGCGAGAGTGTTCTTTTGAATATACCAAATGCATGTGGATGTTTGGAGATAATGAAAATGTACTCAAAACCCACACATCAATACGTACAGAGTGAGAGTGAGAGCGAGAGAGAGGGGGAGGGAGAGGGAGAGGGAGCATAAACACTGTAAATGCAGTATCATAAATTTAAAAAATCAATGTGTAATACTTGTGCTGACAAACACAGTATCCTCACTATCACTATAGTATTTTCATCCACATTCAGACTCCACACTGCCATACACTGTATTGTTACCAACTAAATTGTCATCTGCCTACGTTTCAGGAAACCACAAAAAAACACACACACACAAAAGTTATTTCACATCCAGCCTCAACACAGACTCTGTGCTTTAGTCCATGTTTGACTTTATGTTTCCCATTATCATTTCCCAGACAGAACACCCTGCAGTATCTCAGCCAAAATAAGTATAAAAATAAGAGGAAGAAATTGAGATCATAATGTTATCAGCCAAGAGTTCACTGCTGTTATAAAGAAGTTGCAAAGCAAGGAGAAAATATTTTTTTAAATAAAGCTCCATTCAATCTAAATGTAGATTTATACAGTCCAACGTAAAGATAAAAGATAATACGGGTCATATTAAAATACAATCCAGCTAACACTTAAAACAAAAAAAACAAAAAACGTTCTTTTCCAATTTATGTTAAATGGTAAATAATAGATAGGAGAAAACTCCAATACCAGGTCTAAACTAAAATAAACAGACTTAATGTCAGCTGACGAACTAGCTTAAACCAGTGGTTCCTGATTATTTTCCATCATGCCCCCCTTGAGGACAGAAATGTTTTTACACCTCCCCTGCCACCTGGTCCGACACCACCACAAATTTAAATGCTATTGAGAACCTGATAACATGTATATTTTTATCTGTTTAAACCACTGTATGGGCTATGGATTATATTATATATAATGTACATGTTACAAAAGCCACATCAAACCTTGATTTTGCCACGACTTCTTAAAGAGACTTACCAAAGTTAAGGTCAAAGGTGTCATTGATTTTTACATCAGATTGAATTCAGAGGTTTCCGCTTTTATCACCAGTGAGAGTAATTAAAAACCATCACTACTTCTACTTTACCAGGGGAGTCTGTGACTTCAGGTCTCATGAAATTCAAAAATTCATGAGCAGCGGAATCTGCCAAATGCTACCGCACGCTCAGCATGTTCAGTGTTTCACAATAATGTGCAGAGTTAACGGATCACTCCGACTGGGACCCATGAACTCACAGTAATGGAAATGATTTCAGCCTTAATGTACTGTATAGACAGACACTTTCACAGTGAGGTTTTAAAACAGCTATTTAGAGCTGCCACACTATGTGCATGTCAGTGATTTCATAAAAGGAGATTTTTCAGTACCACCATTCAGTCACTGAAGTACACGACTGTGAAAACTTTGTTTCACTAAAATACCGTTCCGTGCTCAATTTTCATTGGCTCAGCAGGATTCGGGTTTGAAATGCAACCGTTGATGGCATGAGTTAACGGAGAGAATCTCATTGGATTCCTACAGTCAGCACCGCAGAGGCCTAGAGATGAAAACCGAGATGACTGTGGGGAGGATATGGAGAAGAGCAGATACCTGGTGATAAAAGCCGACATCCCTGCGGTACGCCATCTGAAGACAGAGACACAGAAAAAGAAACCAAACTCTCTTTGTGACCTGTTTAAATATCCGAGCTTCACTTTCAAATAAGTTGTTTCACATAAAAAAGAAATAGGTTATAAAAATCTAATATCCTCCTTCGACTGTAGCTCTGAACGTATTCTCATTAATGCTGAACGGTTGTTTGGTTTCCTGTGATGTCACAGACTAAGAGCTCGGCTCCCCGACTTCTCTGTGCCAACAAACCACCTTTTTGAAGACTTTGCCAAAGAATAATGCAATTTGTACATTTCCAATGATTCGATACAAAGTGAATTAGACATCAATGCGTTTCTTCTAAATTGCTTTGTTAAGCAACTTCTCGAAAATAATTTCTTCTAAATGCATGCATTGTCTGTTAATAATAATTCTGAGGAGACTGGGTTGTAGCCTTCACTGCTAATTCAGCAGCTAGCAAGTGTCACAGACTTGATCGCTCACAGACAAATGTGCTATGTGCACAGTTATCTGGGGCTATAACATTAGAGAAGACTGGGGGCAAAATTAAATATTTAAATTGTCCTTGAAATGATCATGACATAGCGTAAAAGATATTTAGCGTGGATATAACATAATGATAAAAGTTATCCAGAAATTGCTTAAGTTTGGCGTGGGCATATGGTGGTGCCAGAATTGTTTTAAAAGTTAGACACAACACAGCCAAAACTTCAATGTAAGAGTAAATATCAATGCTAATGCTAATGCTAACGGCTGAAAAAAGGAATCGCAAGGTTTCATGCACATGTGCTACAGCAAATGACTGATTAAGGAATGTCTTGCTAGGCTACGCTTCAGTAACTTGTCCTAAAAAGTTAACCAGAATATGATATAAAATAAATATGTATGACTAATAGATATAAAGTATGCCTTAAAAATGCAAAAGTGAGTACAAGAAACGGCAAAAAGTTATTGAAAAGACAATGTAGTTGGATGTAGTTATGTTATACTTTTTATTTTTCTTCACTGTGAAAATTACATCCTAATTTGAACTTTGATTTTGATATCATACAAAAACAGAGCTGGTGCCACTACTAATTGGGCAAAATAAATTATTAAAAATAAAGTATTTCCCTCAGTAAACAAATAAAAATAAGATCACTTTAAAAGAACTATCGAGCAATGTTTGAATTTTCCCTGAAAGAAGTCTTTTTGTGCCATTTATTTGTTTCTTTATAATAGAAAACAATAAAGGAAAGCTACCTTAGCTCTGGGGTTCAGGTTGCCAATGGCATCGGCCTTAAAGTCATTCTTGTTCTTCCTGCACAGCACGGCTGTGATGATGATGATGATGAGGGTCACCACAGAGATGGGGGCCAACACTGCAGCAATGATCCACAGATTGTTGGGAGGGTTCTTGACTACAGCTGTAAGAACAGAAGAAGAAGAAGAACATTCAGATCTAAGGGACAGAGATATCGTCTCCGTATCATGGGTTTAAACCCCTGTTGAAAACCAAGACCTGGTATCACTGTGACAAACTGAGCAGCCGTGTCTCTCACAGCGCACGAACCACAGGGGCACACACTGCACAAGCCAGGAGTTAACTAAAGTGTGATGAGGGGAAAATGGCAGAGAAAGGGCAGCCAACATTTCCAGTTCCATTTCAGACAATGGCGTCAGTGTTGGAGAGCAGAGGTTTGAGGGAAAGGTTGAGCGGAGGTATCACTTCCATTTCATTCACAGCGTCAGCTGCTGCTCTTGACTTTTCTAGAGTTACCATATCTGACAGAAACCCAACAATATAATAGCTTGACTTGTTGTTTTGAAGTACAATACACTCCCCCTGTTGGCAGAACGCAGTAAGGAAGGTGAGTGACCCTCTGAGGACACCACTGAAGAGTTTGGAAATAACTCTGTACTGATTGTAGTCTATAGAAAAATGTTTAACAAATGCATAACAAAGCCAAAACCGCCCCCTACAGCCTACATAGTGCACTACATGGGGTATGCCATTTTGTACTGGTGTCCAAATGTTTAGTGAGCAGAAGTAGTGCACTATAAAAGACACTCACTGCATCCCACAATTCACTGCAAAATCTACTGTACAACTGATAGTCGCTACCCAAGCAAAATATCCCATCATGCATTGCAATCAGAATATATATATAAGCAAGAAGAAAACTTGTTCAGAGGGTGCTGCAGCTCAACTATCTTTTCTTTTTAGGACAGTAAAGGCACCACTGGCTTTAATCCTCTCTCTTTATTTTGAGCATACTACAGTTAGCCAATCAGATTCAAAGGTCAGATACTACAGTTAGCCAATCAGATTCAAAAGTCATGTGTGATTTCTCTCTGCACAGCAGATTTCAGTTTATATTTCACAACCAAGAGTAGGGACCGTGTCTGTGCGCTGCGGGCTGTTACTGTCTCTTGCTCTTTGTTATACAACATAAAGATAAACTGATACGCAGCTGCTCTGATTTAGTTGTTTCGTGCAAGAATTCATGAGAAAAGGCAGAATTCTTTGTCTGTCTCCCACGATGCCTGGAACAGCTCCTTAAACGCGCTGTTCCCTCGTCTTCACAAAGCAGTGGGCAGCAGCACGGCAGCAGAAACAAACTATGTCCTGCAGCAGTTGAAGACATAAGAGCGTATGTTCAAGCTGCTCTCTGCTCCCCAGCGTAGCTTTGTTTTCCTCTTTGTCAGTCTGTCTATTTGCCTCTTTGACTGATGTAAAACAAAAGAAAAAGAAGAAAAATTCTAATAATTTGCTTACGTTCTGCTTGAAGTTGTACGAAGTAGCCCAGGGTGAGAGCCATAATCTGAGAGTCCACCGTGTTGAGGACCTTGGCAGCGGACGTCCCCGCTAAAGGAATGCCATTGTGCTGGACGTAGTAGGTCATTTCTGCAGGATTCTTCATCCCCGACACCCTACGGATGCCCACCATCTGTTTCAGGAAGAGAAAGAAATGTCTTGTGTTCACAAGGTTTACTCCACACAGATATAGAATACTGTAGTAACCATTCAGACGTTTTATGTCACTCATTAGTAGCAGAGCAGTACTTTATTCATCAGTGCAGTGACATGAGTGGGATTCTTTTTCTTTTATTTAACCACAGTGGTTCTACAAAGACATGATGGTTAAAATGGGTTTTAAGGAAAGGAAAAGTGAATAAATTCAAATAAAAACAAATTCTGTAATTGATTAATATTCTTATTTTTAAGCATTTTTTTCAATTAGTTAAAAAATGTAATTATTAAAATCAATTAAATAAATTAAAATTAATATACAGATATGTAAATGACACACAAACAAGAAAATTGTATCACTATTTTCTTCATCTGTTTTCCATTTAATCTGTGTAATTACAATATAAATCTGTAAAATCCAACATGAATAGAGTAAATCTACAGGCACCAAATGCATTTCCCAGAATTAAAGACCTGTCCTGAACATTATAGACTTTCTGCTCAGCTCAGTGTTGCTTCCATTTTAATTTTGCAGCAGAAATTACCGTAAAAATGAACAGCATCTCCAGGCTGGGAGTCTGACCATGAGAAAGCAGCAGTGACAGCAGCGTGAGCCGTGATTTGAGGAAAAACATTTGACCTCAGGCTTGTTTTGATGAGCAATTAGCAGACGATGAGCTGAGAGCCTCTCCAATCATGAGAGGATGACCACATAATCACTCAAGCATGTGTGTCAACAACACCTCATATTTATCCTACGAGAGCTCTTTACGAAACACGTAAGAGTAGAAACTGACACCTGAGACTTTCAGACCCGTTTTACTTTTTATTTTATTTTATTTTTTAGCAGCTGTCTGCTTCCTACCTGCACAGTGTAACTGTCCACAGTTGTAGCTCGTCTGAAGCGTGTGCCCTGCTGACCGGCCAAAACAAACAACTCTGCCAGTCGCTGTTCCATTAAACTGGCAAAGCTCTGGTACTGTCCTTCCAGACTGGTGTTATCCACATCCTGGATCACTGGGCGAGTAAACAAAAGACAAAAAATAAGGTGGACACAAAGTCATTAAAAAGAAAACAGAGAAATTAAGAAGGCACAGATGAATGGAATAAAGAGCAAAAGCCGGTCATGTGGAAAAAAAATGATTCAGAAATGGGGATAAATCTGAATTTTACAGTTTGTGAACACAGATGTTATTGTTAATAAATTCAAAGTGTGCCAGGCTGTCGTTCCTCCTTCCTCAAGGAACATCAAAGCCTAAAAGTCACATAAAATATAAAATATTCCTCCAACAACAAGAGGGCGGGGGGGTTTGATCTTCATATTCAGAGGGCGTCAAAAAGCTGCAGTCTGGGGCTGTCACAGTGCTGTAATAAATGTGAGCAGAATGAACACTCTGTCAAGAGTTTGAAAATAAGGGACATTTAGGGAAATAAGCTTAGAAAATATAAATATGCTCCTTTAAATCCTGTAAAAAGAGATTTAATTAATCCCTTGAAATGTATATAAAAATGTCTGTTTTATTTTTGAACTTTATTGATACCAGATAATCAAAATTGAAATGTAAGGATAGTCAGACAAGCTAGAGGAAGACCGAAAAGTTAGTGGCTTAAAAATTGAATTTCTTTTAACAATTTTAGGACTAGTCCGAATTCAGAATAATTATGAGCTCAGAATTATGTTCATGAAAATAAGTTTTTCATGAACATAAAAACAAAAAAAGTTGTTACGCAAATGTTTTACGAGAACAAACAAAAAGAATGAAGCACCAACGTGATGTTTTAATGTGATAACTTTTCTTACCTGTTATAACCCAGAAGTCTCTCGTTGCAAGAGAGGTGTTCAGATTGTGATATTCCAGGGCTGCAAAGAAAAAGAAACAAAACAGATGTTAATATTTAATCACTGTATCTTGACTGAAACCATTTTCTGGAGGTGAACCACATTTAGGGAACCATAATCTCTGAAACCATGCAGAGCTGCCCCTCTAACAACGTCAGCCGTTCTTGGGTCAGAATTGCATCAAGTCCCCGACACGAGCAGGAAAATGAATTCAAAACAGGAAGTTACCATTAACACCATTATTTCCTACTTTGCATTTTAAAGGACTGTAATTTTCCGTGATTTTTACAGTCTGAAGTCGGTCTCTCTGCCAACATCCTCATTCATATTCCCCTCCCGAAAGAAAGTGTGGAGGAGCCCGGGGGGAGTGAAAGAGCTGATCTCAGCACACGGAGCTCAGCCTACACAAAAACCACAGGAAGGATGGAGCGCTCACAGCTACAAACCGACTCTGCATGGAGGTGTGATCCCTGTCAGGGCAGAGCCATAGGTGACATGCAAGTCGCCCACTGTTAATTATTTACCGCCATAATTGGGTTTGAAGTGAGGTGGCAGCCGGTCGCCAACATATGCTAACTCCTGGTGTGAACAGTGTAGTGTCACCAGCAGAGAGGATTAAAAAAACAAAAAAAGAAAATCAAAGTGACATCCTGGTTCATTCACCTTCCTGTCCTTCATCACTTCATCCCTGTCTGTGTCGTGAGTTGCTTTTTGTTTATGTTTTTGTCAAATAGCTCTTTTTCAGCTTCCTTGGCTAAATTCTGTCATAGCATTTATCTACGAGCCTATTAAACTGTTTAGATTAATGAAAATAATGAAGAACCACTGGTCCAAAGACAGTCAAACTGTGCTGCAGTCATAGTCACAGTGACTCGGTGCTGTCCAAGGTGCTGATCTGGGGCTCCCACTAACAGTGGCTGCAATGCACTCTTCCATTATGACTACATAAAAGAAGTCAAAGTTCTTAACACTTCATTTTTTTATTGCAAATAAAAGCCTACAATTAAAAAATAAAGAGGTGGAGGGTGACATCATCCAACCTCGGCCATCTATGAACATAAACTCCTGGTTGTAAACTCTGCTCACTGACATGAACCCTCAGGTTAGAGAAGATTATATCAACTTTTACAGTAGTTTATCTTAGCTTAGCATAGCCAGTTGGTATTACAGGGACACACAGGTTTAAACACCATGGTGTGATCTTTCATTACAGCGTATTCCAGTGCAGTAAAGTTCTCTCTACCAAATACCCAAGACCACGGAAGAACACACTTAAACCCAGAGGTGCAGTTCCTGAAGTGTGGGTTAAACCTTGGCTCCGTCCTCGGTCTAACTGCCTTTTTCATAGATTTTTTTTTTAAGAGACCCCGAAGCACGAGTGTGTGTGATATTACACTCAATTACATTATGCAAAACACTGAGACTGAGGCAACTTTCACAGACGTGACCTGCTGTAGAACATTGTGTTCACACAGGAGGCAGCACATTAGCAGAACCACATCAGCAGCTTCTGATGCACTCAGGCACAGTCTGCTGCTGGAGCTCTGCTGCATTCTAAACCCAACACACACACACACACACACACACACACACTGAGAGGGTGTGATATCCGACATGCCTCGGGTCTCCTGCAACGCCAGTGAAGAGTGCAGTGCGTGTGTGGACAGCTGTATTGATCATACAGTCCTATATGGTTTCATCACACGTCCATTCAGCGACTGAAGACACTGCAGAAATGATTCATGTCAACAGAGCCAGGAGTTTTTTAATGGGGGCTCCTGTTATTGACCACCGCCTGTAGTGACCACAGGAACATGTTGTATTTGTCTGAGCGGATCAAAGACACTGTAAGTTACAATCACTTATTAACACAGATGTGTTTTAAGTCCAGCCGGGGGCGTGAGTCACCACAGAGGGACGGGTTTTTTATGCGTCTCACCCCCGTCTCTCTACTGCTTTACACACATTATTTTTATGTCCTGTTGCCAACAGTGTTGGAAATCAATTTGTTCTTTACAGGTTTTCTCTTGTTATCCTGGATTTTTTTTTCTGATGCATCAAAGTAAAGCTATTTCTTTCTTTCTATTTCTTACTTTTTCGCACATTTTGTATTTTTATTTTCAATGTTTCCAGCCTACTAACTTTTTTTTATCTGATAACATTTTTTTAAATTTATTTCTGAATTTCTGAAATATTTTTACTACACTCTTTGGCCCTCAGGGGGAGCAGTGGTGTTGGGTGGGCAAATTGAATGCAATTTCAATAATTCTTTGATTGTCTCAAAGTGGGGAAAACACATTGCTTTGTATTTTTTTATTATCATTTTAATGAGATGGGGGTGGACAAAAGTCCAATCTCCAAACAGAGGGTATATCAAAAAAAAATTTGGGAAACAAAAAACGATTTATCATTTGCATAGCTAACTTTTTTTTATGTATATATTGTGGTAATTTATGGTTTCATTTTCGCCACAGCTGTTCTGGCTTTTAGATGATTTTGAATACCTTTGAATATTACTATTTTTTATTTGGTACTGCATCCCAAGGAAAATAAAAATTATATATTTCAGATCATTAAAGCCACTTTAACAACATTTGTATATGACTTATAGGCAATAATGTAAGGCTAGAATTTAATACATAAGTGTATAGTAATAGCCCTTAACTATTACTGACTTATAGGCAATAATGTAAGGCTAGGATTTAATACATTAGGCCCTTAACTATTATTATTACATTTCTGTCGTCCAATTAAAATATTTGGACGTCAGTGCTTTAAGGCAATGGTCAAAAAGGCTTTGTTTACACTAATGACAAGAAAACAACATAACGAGAACATTTACCTTAAAGCAAAAAATGTATCGTTTTCTGAGCAAAAGCTTCTGTACTGAAAAAAAGGAGAAACTACTACAATATTCTGGGCATGTACTGTGAACAAGGTCAAGCAAACTGTGAATATTCACCCCCGGGGAACAATGAAGAACAATACAAACGCCCGATTTTATGTCGGAGTCGTGCATCTGGCATGTCTGCCTCAGCTGAGCAGTACACACACCCCACCCTCCCACAGCTGCACTGGTGGGACAGAAGTGGAACTGCTCTTTAGACTCCCGCTGACAGGCTGCTGCTCTGTGTGTTTATCAAGAACTGAGAAGGAACCAGGCTGGTTCTGTTTGTCCAGAGAAGCCAAGGGTAAAGGAAGCACTGCAGTTTTATGACACCTGGTGATTGTACCTGGACGGTGAGCATTTAAAGAATAAATTCAAACATTTTAAACTCAGCTTAGACCTTAACCTCGGTGACCCAGAATTGGCCTCCACACCCTGGGCATCCACTCCGATTTGTCAGTAGTGACTTAGACCCAGTGTTAAAGACTAAAAGCATTCATGCTTCAGTAATTACAACTTACGCTCGGCAACGGTGAGCGGGGGATAGAAGAGGAAGTAGCCCACCAGCTCAGCTGACAGCTGACCCAGGAGGTTGGAGGCAGTGGTGCCATTGAGGAGGACGGTGCCGTTACTCACAGTGTAGACCAGAGACACAGCGGGAGAGCCTGTCGTCTGAGTGACACTCAGCATCTGGTGGTGGAATAAGGAGAACAGCAGCTCAGAGAGAGAAGGAAGCGTGAAAAAAGGAGTCAACACAAATAACACAACAGTGAGTCTAATGGTGTAAAATCAAGGCAGAACACAATGAAATGATACTCTAATAGAGAAGTCAGTGTCGGAGAAAAAATAAAACCATGGAAATCACTGAAAACTGTGAGAAAATGACAGATCTGTAAAGGATGCAAAACTCAGCCATGCCCGGCCAGCAAAGCCACCTTAATGCAGTGTGTACTTTAATGTGGCAGTTGACTGAAGTGATCACAAACATTGTTCACACTCCTCAAACATAATGAATCAATATTTAAAAAGCAGCTCTTGTTCCAAAGCCAAAGCGAGCACGGTCAAGAGGACGGAGGCTGGACAACACGCTGCTGAGGACACAGTGGAAATGAAAAGTCTAGACGGAGTTCAGTGTAGACAAGAGTAAGGGAGTTTGTTCACTATTTGAGAAGTACTGCCTTAACTGAACATTATCAAACCATTCCAACGTGAGCCGGACACAGAATTTTGGGACAATGAAGTTCAAATCGTCTCATATGGGAATGGGTTTTTTTTTCAGTCTCCTGGAAAGAGACGAAACTCAGTGTTGTAAGTAGTAGATGGGTGGGGTCCTGGACCTCCTCCTCATTTAAAAGAAAATAGTTTTCTTTATCTTGATCATTCTTCTTCTTCAGTTTCTTAAACATCTATATATAGATACACACCTTTGAGATCTTTGATCCCTCTCCCTTATATAAAAGAGCTGAGCTGTAGCTAACGAACATGAACCACACTGATCTCCAGGTTGTGTAGTTTCTTTGGCTTCACCACTCGTTTGAGTGTTGGGGGCTTTTAAAAAAGGAAACACTAGAACAGTAAAGGGAACTCACCCACACAGAAGATCAATTATTACACACTTGTTCCTCCACAGTACCTGGACGGTGAGCTTGCTGTTACTGCTGAGCACTTTGACCTGTGCTTCTAAAAACACCCTCTCCAGCCGACGCTCCATCATTTGAGAGAATCGACAGGTGCGGGGGTTATCGTCCGCTCCCACGAACTGCAGCACTGGAACATGAAACCAAACGTCAGACCTTCCAGACCTACTTTGGGTTAAATTCTTCTAGTGGATCATCTGAACTCAGAGCTGACCTGTTTTCAGCTGGAATGTAGAGGCCGGGCTGGCGCGCCACAACGCGGCCGGCAGCGGCAGGGCCGTGACCATGGGGAGATACTGTCGCAGGTCTGCAATCAGCTTATCGCGGCCATACGATTCCAAGCCATCCAGCACTACAGAGGGGGGGTAGACTACATCCCCTCCGGTCACATGATAGGCCACTGTCATGTTTGGTGAGCCAAACACTGTCTCCACCTGAGGGAGTGAAGGAAAAGGAGGTTATTTTTTTTTTGTTGGTCACAAACTCACAACCTCTGAAGTCTCTGTTTCTTTAAAAGAATCCCTTTTTGGTTTCCGACCTTAAGATACACTAGCGCCACCCACCAGGCTGGAGAGTATTCCTCATGCCAAGATTAGGGAACAGTTCGATTTGTGATTTTATGAGGTCTACTTTATCAAATTGAATTTGTTTTCATTTTTATTTTGACAGCTCAAGCTGGAACGCAGTGGCCAAAGGGAAGGATGACGTCTACTGACATTTTTCAAAAGGGTTTAAATTTGAAATACTGTCAAAATGTCGCAATTGATTTTTCTGTTACTTAACGAACGTTGGCCAGAGTGTTTGGAACAACCTGGTCCCCCCAATCCCCTGGTGGATCGGTGTACAAACTACCACTGTGGTTGAAGGGAAAAATCTGGATGTGATTCGTCCTCTTCTGTCTTTGAGTTATTTTATAGAAAAAGAGAGTGAATTTAATGGAAGGGGAACATGTTCTACACATCACTGTGCTCACACTTTTTCACATATTTCGTGGTGATTGGAGAGAGAGTGAGATAAAACAATGCAGGTTTGTTATGTAATCCCATCAGGAAACAGGTGCTGACATGTGAGCCAGTGGTGAAAACACCGAGCGTCTCCACTCTCTGCTGCAGCACAATCCCGTCTTCTCATGAGCGCCGCAAAAAGAGCCCTTTATTATCACTTCATCCTCCCGGGCTTTGACCATGTGACGCTGTTATTAAGAGATTGCATTTCAAGCGAGTCAAAGACTGTGGTAACACACCCACCGACCGGGGCTCAAAGACTGCCAACAGATTAGACCACCAGATCTGACTGTGACGTTCAGGCAGATAAAAGTCACCGGAGCGACGAGGTACGAAACACTAAACTTGTTTTTACATGTTCAAACTTGTGTTTTTGTCTTGCGGCAGTGTTCATTCAGTCTATTTCTTATCTTCTTTTTTTTTTTGTCGACATCAGAACGGCCCATTATTCTCCTCCCAACCATTTATAACCTATAATTAAACGCAAGAAGCAATTTCCCTCGTGTGAACAGCTTGCCTTCCATTGGACGACAGCGCAGCACTGCTAAAAGGAAGTGGTGCGATGTTGAAGCGGGTGACAGGAGTGCAGTGGAGCAGGGCGCCGTCAGAGACCACACAGTGTCTCACTTTGAACATGTGAGGGCGCTGACCTTCACACAGGCAGGACAAACGCTCTCTCCGCCTCGTGGTTTCACTTTGAGAAATTCAACCAGAAGTACACAGAGAACTGAAGAGGCACGTGGACTGAGATGGTTCAAAATATGGCTCGCGGGTCAACTGTGGCACATTGAGCATTTAAACTATTAACTTTTAATGTGTTAATGCAGCAGAAAAAAACCCAAGCGAGGTGTGTGTGTGTGTGTTCAGTTAATTCTGCTGCGTCTGATCCTGTGAAGACACTTCCAGTATAAACTGTCTCTTTTGAATCAACGAGACATTCAGTCCTCATTGGTTGCAGTCACTTGCTCCAGTCCTACATTCACTTTTGCTGCTGTTACAGTTGCACAAATATGTGACTTCACCCACTGCCTTCTGGGACACTTCCAGTCAACCTCATTTCTATATTTGTCCTCATCTCTTTTCGCGGAGCCTAAATCCGGGTCCTTGGTTTTGGTGTCACGGTGTAATATCAGCACGTGACTTTAACCATGTGATACCCAGGTTGAGGTACAATGAAGATGAATCGGTTCCACTTCTCCTCTTTGGAGGCCAAAGTGGATCATCTCATATCAGGATCCTGGAGTCATAACCACTAGATCTCCACAGGTGAGATGGTCGGCCCAGTTGGATGAACGGGCAGAGATATGTAATCAATGGTGTTTGGTATAGTTTACTCCTACTTGTATCAACAATTTGACTGGTGACCCCAAAGACATTTATAGTCATGAAAGTGAAAGAAAAAGTTCTATAAATTTTGTGTGCCTTTTTTTTTAATACCCTATTTTAATTTCAGGCGACTCCAAATGGGGTTGCAACCCCTAGAAACCCACTTCACATCTTTGGATAAAAACATTTGCCAAAGCTGGGGCCCAGATCTGTCATCTTTTAGCTGCAAGGAGGTAGTACCAAGCATGGTACCAGACACAAACTTTAACTGAAACAAAATATAAAATATTTCTACATACACTCGGCCCCAGTAGAGTAGACTGAGAATCTCTAAAAACCAAATAAATAAAATGAGAGCTCAACTCCGTTCCACAACAGACAACTTCAAGCGTTGCCATGTACGAACTTTTACAAGAGGACCAGAGGGACGTACAGGCTACTGTACAACGGTTTCATGTTTCTGACAAGCCTAAATACTTAGAAGTACCAGTCTGACCTGTGCTTGGGCAGAGGAATCATTCAGAGCTTTCCGGAGGCCCTGGCTGAGGCCTCGTCGCAGGTTCTGTCTCTGGATGCTGTCCAGTCGGTTTCTTCTGACATAAATGGAAACCACTAACAGACATGGACACAACGAGAGACCAGACAAACATATTAAAAAGAAAAAAAAATATTGACTTTTTTTTCTGCTGGTTTGTCATATGATAAACTACTCTTTACCTGTTTTCACCCACATTCTCTCTGTAATGTTGCACTGCTGAGGCGTGGCCTCCGTGGTGGTGGTGAACGGAGAGATGAAGGCGGTGGTGGCCGCCCGGGGTGGAACTGTTCTGAGGACGAACGGAGTAAAAGTTCTCCTGCTGGTTTGAGTCCTGATGGTCGTGGTGGAGGTAAACCTTCTGATGACCGGTGTTGTTAGATGGGTGGTACTAACGGGGGTGGACGGTGAAGCAACACCGCCCAGGGATGGCACGGAGCTGGTGGTGGAGGCGACGGGGAAAGGATTCTCTGTTTTAGTGGTCGAAGCTGCGGCCGTGGTGGTGGAGGGCTTCACGGAGGCTGGTGTGATGTCCGGTCGAGGGGTGAGGGGCGGTACCTGAGATGTCCTGTCAGTGGGTGCAGTTGACTGAGAGGGAGGAGGGGGCGGGTCCTCGTTCTCTTTGAGGAAAGTGAGAGCAACCGCTCTGGATGTTCCAGCGCTGAGCTCATCAGCCGACGCTGCCTCTGTAAGATCAACAGACGTGTCAGTTGTACTGTGAGATGGGGGGGACATCGAGAGTGATGTGGAAGACAAGACGATGTCGGGGAACTCGGTTGGTTCGAATGATGATGATGATGTCACTTCAGGTGAACTGAACGCTGAACTGATTGGATGTATATCCAGCAAGGACACTGACGAGGTTGAAAGATCTGAGGACAACCCTGACAATGTCACCCGTGTGGACAACACCGCCACTGCAGGTGTTTCTGACCCTTTCAGTTCTGATCGGACCGGGTCGCCGTCATCGTCCGTGTCAGTGAAACTGCGTGGAAGTCTGGCAGCAGTGATTTTATAAACGTAGGCGAGGACGGTGTCTTTTGACGATGTGACGGAGTCAGTGGTTGCGTGAGAAATAGCGGGAGGCGTACGTGGAGTCCATACTGATGTAGCGTCAGTATTGTCAGCGGTCATGCCTACTTTTAAATTCCCTAGAAAGAAATCTGTGTTCTCTTCATCTTGATAAGACCCTTCTGTTCTGTGTGAAGGAGGCGGATCCGCTCCATCAGTTGAATGAAGCACATATGGATCACTGGCGGTGAATGTTGGCGCTACTGAATACAGGATATGCATTTTATGCTCTTGACCGCCTTCCAGGCCGGGATGTTGTTGGTATGATAAGCCATCTGCCGCTAAATCAGAAACTGACGGTTTAAAACTACTGGGTGTCGTGTGTGATTCAGAGGCAACTCTTTGAAAAGAAACCAGATTGCTGGCTCTCCACTTTGTATATGCTGCCATTAGTGTTGTGCCAAATGTGGAAATAGGATTTAGTGTTTCACTAGTGCTGTTTTGTCCATCACCGGGGGAAGGAGAGGCTGCAGGAAAAGCAGTGCCGGGACGAGCCGACTGTGTGCCTGAATAGAACTTTGATTTATGACTACTAACAAAGACGGCCGGTCCCTGAGCAGGAGACGCAGAGGTTGTCCTTTGTGTGGGGATGATTTTTGACCAGGAGGAAGACGAGCTCCTATAGGGGCCCGTCACTGTCACATCTTCATCAGGAGCTTCAGTCGGCAGCGATTGAAAGTGTGGTGTGGACAGAAAACTCTTTGTGTTGGACAAAATATTTCCCTCCTTTTCATGAAACAAAGGAAAGGAAGCATCTCTATCCAGGTTTTCTGCAAATGAGCGTCCATTTGTCACATGACCAGGCCAAGCTGGTGATGATTTACTGCTTTCTGCATCTGTTTGCACCTGCAGTGTCGAAGGTTTACTGTGGTCGGCCCTCTCTGAGTTTTTATTACGTGCAAAGACTTCACCTGATGATGATGCCATCTGATGAGAATTATGAGAAGTTGGCACCGAACCAAACTCCGAGTCCAAATTTAGTGACGGCGTGGCCTGAACAGGTCTGTCGGAGGGTTTTGGTTTATGTGACAGTGTAGGTTTGGTTCGTTCCAGCAAATTTAATTCATTACTGCTGGACAGACCTTCATCCTGGTTCAGGATGTCGCTTCGTACAAAGGGTGAGAAGTAAGAAGGGAGGGTAGAGAGATTTTCATCTGTTACAAATTTTGTCAATATTAAACCAGAAGGAAACGTCGTTTTTTCAAACAAGCCCTTTGTGACAAAGGTTGTTCCTCCTCTGGTGATCAAACCAGTGGAGATGTCAGGTTTTTGATACATGTTTTTCTCTAGAACCTGAGAGAAAACAGATTTGTTCTCATCCACTGCTAGTTTGTTGTTTTCATTAATGGCATCAACGATAGCGAGGCCATGACCCGCTGCCATCGGTAAATCATCACGAATAGATGCACGCTCCAAGGACGGGGAGCCAGAGGAGATAGGTGTGAGGTTTGTGATTTGAATTTCGGAGAGAGACTCTGTATCTGGAGGCTTATCAGAGGAAGCTGTAAAAAAATAACCAGCAGGTGTGAAAGTCGCCGCTGGTGACGCTCGAGGATTTGTAATGTGCGAATTGAGAGGCGACGCGGTGGCGTTCCCGTAGCTTTTGTGACGTACAGGTGGAGGTTTAGTCTGTTGTGAGGCATTAGAAGGAACAGACAGTCGAGCTGAATTTCTGTGATTAGAAGAAAGCCAGGTGTTAATTTCTGGATCGTTCTCCGACACCGCACTCACACTTTGGGTGTGAGTCTCAGTGGGTTCATTAAAAGTCTTGAAATAATTCCCATATTCAGGGAAATAATATGCTTTTCTGGTTGCTGGTGGCTTGGTTAATGCTAAGTCTATACTGCTAGTGTTGAGTCCCAAAGTTTTTTCGGTTGTGTCATTTTTTTCCCTACGTGGCGGCACAGAGGTGGTTAGTCCCCATTTAAACGCTGCTGGTAAATGTGATGCTAAACTGGTGACAGGGCTAGCTGCTGGACTGGACAATATGTGTTGACCCTGAGAAGACGTAGCGCGGTTCAACCTGTTAATGTAGGACGAGAGCACAGAGGAAGTGGATGGAGCTGGTGATGACAGTGAAGGTGATGGTGATGATAAAAATGATGAGTTGGTCTTTTTTACATCCACGGTGAGTACATGTAATGGCTCAGACTCCAGTGATGACATGGTCACATCATGACGTGGTGCGGTATGCTGCTGGCGAGGCATGCTGGGAGTCCGACCTGAGCTGGTGGGGTGGATCCTATCGCCTGCTTTTGACAACGACGAGGAAGACATCTGGGAGCCATGGCTGGAATTTCGTGAAGGCCATTTGGTGGTGTGGTTCTCGTCCCTGGTGAAAGTTGCCAAGGTTTTGCTTTGATCTTGGCTGGATGGATGATTGACAGTTCCTGCCTTTACTGTTAGCACAGAAGAGAAGGCAGCCTGTCCTGATAAACCTCTTGCATCTGACTCAGAGTCCCCTTCTGATTGGGTGGCTGAGAAAGGCACCTCCTCCTCTGCTGCAGCCAAGTCAGCCACTCGTTGACTAGGAGCCGCTGTGGCTGAGGGGTCACTGGGTAATGACGAGAAGCCAGAGGCATCGAAGGTGGATTTTTCTGTACAAAGAGAGCCAGAAAATAACATCATTAGAAATGAGATACGCCAATGGCTTTATCATGATTATGTGAAATTATCCGCTAGCAAAAAAAGTGCCAAGAGTTCGACAAACAATATTACAGTGGAATAATAGTATTGTTTGTCGTTGCTTGTGGATAAAGTTAAAACAACAGTTTTAGGGACACAGAAAGCTACTCCCAGTTTAATAGCATTATAGCATAGCTATCCCAGAAGCTATGAGCTAGCTTTGTTTACATGGTCCATAAACAAAATATCACTTTGCAATAACATCCTTACCACAAACAGATAATGAAAATCTTCATGAAATATGTAAAGTGGTGAAGTATTATCCCTTTTAGCTAACAGCTAATAATATGAAGAAGCTACAGGAGAAACAGCCATTGGAGATGTAGCTTAGCCGACACGTTTGTGATAGAAAATCCTAATTGAATACGTGTTAAATTTTAAATGTCATACTATATTTGCCTCTTTTTTCTTGGACACAGGTTGCCAAGCTTAGCCAGGATTAATAGTGTTAATGCATCTCTTTAATAGTCTGAGATAGCACACCAAGGCAGACATTTATGTTCTCCCACAGGACGGAGAAAAAAAAAGAGACAATCTTCAAAGTAGAACAAATAGAATTATTTAAAGATGACAGCCTTGTGCTCAGTGCAGGAGAAGCAGCAACAGTTCTGGCACGTAGCTCTCCAGTCACACGACGGACTTTGGTTAAAACTGTGTGGAAATGAGGCTTCTGTAAAGGGCAAATGTAAAACGGCGATGATTCAGAGGTAGGAATTAGAAAGGCGTTAAAGACGTGAGCACCAAGACAGCTACAGGGAAGTCTAGTCCCGTCCTCTGCTCTTCTCTAATTCTCCGCACATCCTCCACACGTTCATAGAGGGCTCTTTTATCCCTTTGTAAAACTTTGCAGTCCTGTCACATCTCCCGCCCCCTCCGCGCATCCACTACATGCAGCATGAGACAAAATAGCAAATTAGCTCTTTTTAAAAGGACTCTTTTATGTCCCAATAAAATATATACCACATTTGTTTTGCATTACTTCTATGACAACTTTAGTATTTAAGTATTTACCTGCTTTCAGCTAGCTATTAGTTGATATCATTTATTAGCTTTTAAGAGGATTTAAATCAGCGTTTACTGCTGGTGTAGCTTTAAGCAGTTGGAGACGGCTATATTTTCGCTGTGTCATTTTTAATCGTTATTAATGTCTTTTTCTTTTCTATGTGTAGTTAAATTGTATCTACTAGCTTGTAGTTGTAGCTTTAAATACATCTTAGCCAATTTTAGACACCTCTGCATATACCTTTGGAGAATTATTTCCTCTTTCTTTAGCTAATCATTTAAGCTAGCTAAAGCTATTTATTTATTTATGCAAAGCTATCAGTTAGCTAATATGTATTCCTGCAACACACGGGGTGGTCTGTAAGTCAGGTGACCAGGGTTTAACCAGTTAAATGTGGGTGAAGATGATTTTGTAGTCGGTCAGTGTTGACCCATCATAATATCGTGTTGGAGTGCAGACTAAAATATACAGTCCTTTTTGTATCTTTTTTTAATTAACATAACTTTCTACTTTGCCTAAAGCTGCCTGTTGATATGGTGTTGGGTGAATCTGTGACTGACGCAGAGAAGAATCACAGTCCTGACAGTCTGCCATTCTGACTTCCCTCACATCCCCTAAATGTCAGCCACATCAGACAGTTCCTGTTCAGCCTTAAAAAAATATCAGCATGAGGTTAGAGGTGGTTGGTTTCATGGTTTCAAAAAGACACGATCAGTGTCTGTCAAAGTCAAACTCTCTGTGTCACAGTGGAGCAGTAAAATCGACCAGTCCACCAGTAAATTAGTCTGCACGACCTCCCAGAATTCGTGACAACTAAACCTGACCAAACCACAAAATCCAAATATTGTGGTCCAACTGGTCGTCTCCTCCTGTTAATACTACAGACCGTGAACTCATCCAGCGATCACTGCAGAAAAAAAGCGTCGTCCGTTGAGTCTGTCGTGTTCCCCTGAATTACATACATGAGTTGCAGCCTGAGGCGGTGTGTAGTCACACACTCCGTCTGCAGACGCTTGCAAGACATAAATGAAACCAAACACCTTGAAAAATTAATACGTGTTCCTGTTCTCTTAAATGTCACCAATAACACGGGATATTGGAACAAAGCTCTGTATAATGTCTGGCCAGAGGGTTCAATGACATTTCATTTCACACCGACACACGTTTGTGCTGCATTCATGCACCAGCGTTTATGTCTTTTTAGTCGTTTCTTCCATAGATCAGTGCTGGAATCTGATTAGTGAAACTGTAAATACTCCACGTTTAATTCCAGATGTGAATAAAGACAGAGAAGGTGACTCTTCATGTGGAGAAAACTCCACAGCCACAGAGACGTGAATCCAGTCCAGCTCCAAGGACCACCACCACCAGCTGATTTCAGGCAGAAAGCACCTTGTCAACGACATGAAAGATAACTTCCTGTCGTGTTCCCCTACACCGACATCACTCAACGAGACGACCGGAAGGCAGGAGAATGAGACTGCGGCAAGTCTGAATGGATGTTTTCCTTCAGTCGGGGAAGAATAGAATAAATAGGGATTTTTTTTATTATTATTCAATAATAAATTCAATCTCTGGGTTTGAGTGGAGCCTGAGCTAGTTTGGGGGGGGGGGGGGGGGGGGTGGTCCCCCCCCCCCCCACTTCCCCCTCCCGCCGGCCTGTTCACTACTTCATCAGAGGGACACATGGGAAAAACGTCGAAAAGAGGAAATCAGTGAAAACCCACTCCCCATGCTGGGAAACTTTAAAAAAAGCCATACAGAAAGAAATAAAGGAGGAGTTGGGGTTAAAAACCAGTGTTATAAGCCAGTGGTTCCCAAAATAGGGAGAAGGTCCCCAGTAGAGGTCATGGTCCTTTTACACTGGTTGATCGTTTTATTTTATTAATTTGTTCAATAAGACTAGCAGGTTTGTAGGCTACAGATTTTAAAGCCATATCTGTGAGTGTGTTGAGGGGGGGGGGGGGGGGGGGGCTCTGAAAATCAGTTGTGCTGCAGAGAAAATGACCTGTTTGAAGAGAGACCTTCATGTGACCTGTGTCCACAGGAGACCCGGCCCACTACTCTTAACACACGGGTGTTAAAATGTGGACATTGTACTGTGTTATCAGACACTGTGGACTGAAAAGGCAAAAAAAAGGGGACTTTGATGTTAAGCGTTTAAATGCAGTGGCCACAGAAAAATCAAACAGGGACAACGAATAACATTCGCTCACAAAAGGCAGGAAGAGAGAGATTTGGTCGTTTCATCTCCTCACGAGCAGCAACACACGGAGCAAAGACCTCATTTTCACACTCATTTCTCCTCCCTGCAGCCAGCGCTATCTCTGAGCCACACAAACATGACACCGCCGCACCTCCCACCACTGCACTCACAATGTACAGCGCCCCCTTCACTTTGCTTTAAGCTGTTTTTGTTCTCTTATGTGCAAGAAAAAAATAATAATAAAATAAAAATTGTCAACAACAAAAATGTAATTCAGTTGTGGACTGGATGAAGCGCTGCGAGCTGAGAAACACATTTGTTAAGCCTGTCCTCCTGCTCCTCAGGAGCGGCTGCTGAAGCTCCTCCTGTGTGGAAGGTTGATGTGAGGCGGAGGTTGAGTCAGCTGGTGTTTAATTAAAAGGACAAATAAAAGTTTCAAAGGCGTTCTTTGGGGCTGAATGTAGGTGATGAAACTGTATTTGGACCAGTGGCAGAATATGATTGTGGAGAGGTTGAGTCTCGGTCTGGTTATTTGAATTTCATTCATCATTTTTTCTCCATATAAATGTGAGCAATAATAAAAAATAAACAAAGTGGAAAAAATAAGAACATAATAGTGATACAAAAATGTAGTAGAAAATTGTATTTTTTCTTTTATTTAAAGCAATACTTCTCAACTACACAACTCTACACAAACCACTGCAGCTGGTATCCTAACGTCACAAAAGAAAAACACAGAGAAAGCTACAGTGCATGTCAACAACAGAGTGGTTTCACCTCCTGAACAGTTGTCCAATCACCACTGCTTCACTGACTTCCTGTCAAGTGATGATGTTTTGGATTCATTTATCCAGTCAGTTTCCAGCACAGCTTTTAATTCACTGCAATGCTACACGGCTGCAGGAGAGGAGAATCAGATGCTCTGAGATAATGAGTTCATTCTGAATTAACTACTCAGGTACTTGACTGCCTTGTAGCACACATTTATGAAATGCAATCGGAATATATATATATATATATATACATATAT